ACCGCAGAGCTCCTATAGGCTAGCGGCAGATCGTTCCCCATGAAGTCCCAGGTCAAGCTGCAATGTGGCAAGTGATGTACAGTCAGGACCAGATTGTTCCCACTGTAGTCCCAGGTCAAGCTGCAGTGTGGCCAATGATGTACAATCAAGACCAGACTGTTCCCAGTGTAGTCCCAAATCAAGCTCCAGTGAGGCCAATGATGTACAACCAGCAGCAGCACCAGATTGTTCCAAATATAGGTCCAATGAGGCCAATGATGTACAACCAGCAACAGCACCAGATTGTTCCAAATCAAGCTCCAATAAGGCCAATGATGTACAACCAGCAGCAGCAATTCAACCAACGACAAAACTTTGGCTTCCCCATAGATATGATTCACAGAGCTTCTCCCAATGCAGCAGCAGCAGCACCACGACCTGAGCTGAACCATCAACGTTCAACAGATGCAGCAATTTCAGCCTCAAACGCAACAGCCAACGCAGTCTCACAGGGGTTTAACGATGGATAGCATCTTCGGACCAATGTCAACATTATAGGAGAACATCTTAGGTGAAACACTTTTGTTTTTCAATTTTCGTTTTTACTGATACAAAATGCTCTCAGATTGATTTTGATGACTGTAAATGAAATGTTGATGACTTTTTAGTCAAAGATTTATACTCGAAAGTCAAGGAAACTTCACATTTGACTAAAGAACATTAATTTCAATAAAAGTTTCAGTGAAAGATCACTCTACTCACTCTAAATTAGTCTTTGTTTGTAGTCTTTGTTCAGTGAAAGCCTCTGTTTATTGGATTCTTTGAACTTGTTTCTACTTAAGCTTATAGAATTTGCTCTGTGTCGCATTCTTACCGTTACCAAACCCTTCTGAGTTCTGACTCTCAAAACTATCCTTGTGATGATGCTTTCTAGCCATTGCAGCAGCTAAAGTAAAACAACTCTTAACATGATTTTCAACCTATTTTTCCTCACAAACGGTTTTTCAATGTAGTTGGTCGATAACTGTAAATGAAACGTTGATTACCCGTTTTTAGTCAAATTCAAAAGTCTCGCAAAACGATGAATGTTCTCTTCTCAAACGTGTAATTTCAATCCTCTTCATAAAGATTCACTTTTGACAAAGCCTACTTTTTGTACCACGCGCGTGAGCTATTGGTCAATTCTGGTTCATGTGGCGCGTGTCGTGTGAGAGAGCTTCAGTTTCAACGTTTTGAAGAGGTATTCAACATTAAAGTTAATCCCATCCCATAAAGAAAGAAGGAACATGATAACAATTAATTTAAAATCAGATTTGATTTGCCAACAATTTAAGCTATCTATTGCTAAAAAAACGCTGAATTTTAAATTAAATCACCTTTGTCTCTCTGTCTCTAGTACCAACGCCTCGATTTCTCATTTTCTCTTCAGACCACCCAGAATCTGATTCACAAGTCGTCTCTCCATTTTAGTTTCTTCTTCAGGAGATTTCATTCCGTCTCTCTCTCTTAATTTAGATTTTGTTTCTCCCTTTAAAGCTGCGAGAGGAAGCTTAAAACTCTTCTCCTGCGTGCTTCTGCCCTAATCTCATCTGCGTGCTTGTCTTGTTATGTTTTTTAAAGGAAGCAAGACTTACACTTTAAGCATTCTTTTGGTTCTTGAACTCGATTTAGTCATTAGATCTGACTCAGCTTACGAGTAAACAAGCTTTTTCGCTTGCCATGCCAAAAGCAGTAAACAGTGAAAAACCCCTTTTCTTTTTTATTCGGTTGGTGCATTGGTTGTTGGTGTTCTTATCAACTTTCATCTTCTATTAATTAGTTAGCTATTGGTGGGGGTTTTGTCATTTTCGTTGAAGTAGCACCAAGTCTGGACATAACGTCTGAAAACTCTGCAGCAAAATCTCTATTGGGTCGATTCCTTTTTCGGGTTTCTGAAATTTTGGTAATTTCAATCAACCCGTGTCTTTGTTTTGTACAAAAGATCAAGGCTTTGATTTGCTGGTTTGAAGTGTTCAAAAGACAATTTTGGTATCTTGTCTGAATCAAGTTTATTCATCGGTTAGGCAAAGCTTCTGTTTTTTTTTAAGGAATGAGGAAAATGTATAGGAAGCTGATTTGGATCAGGCATTCAGGGTTTAGGGTTTTCAGAGACAGGAAATGGATGTTCCCGTTTCTGGCAAGCTTGGTCTTATCAGTTACTCTGTTGATGTCTGTAATTTATCTCCAGTTAGACAGTTCTTATGTGGAAGAAGCACCATTGCCATTCGATAATGTCTCAGAAGAATCAAATGAGTACTTTGTAGAACCACATTTGAGAAAGTCTTTGAATTCGACGATGAATTCGAATTCTTCAGAGGTTCCTAGGCTAGCTTATCTGATCTCGGGGACGAAAGGTGATAGTCATAGGATGATGAGGACTTTGCAAGCTGTGTATCATCCAAGAAATCAGTATATTCTGCATTTAGATCTTGAAGCTCCACCTAAGGAAAGGCTGGAGCTTGCAATGTCTGTGAAGAGTGATCCTACTTTCCGTGAAGTTGAGAACGTCCGTGTTATGTCTCAGTCGAATCTGGTTACCTATAAAGGCCCTACAATGATTGCTTGTACGCTTCAGGCCGTGGCGATTTTGCTTAGAGAAAGCTTGGATTGGGATTGGTTCCTCAACCTTAGTGCCTCGGATTATCCTCTCGTGACACAAGATGGTAAGTGAATGCCCTTATCCTGCATTAGTAATTCGCATGTTTTCGGTCTTGATATATAGTAGTGGCTTATGTTCTTTCTGATTCTGCAGATTTGTTGTATGTCTTCTCAAATTTGTCTCGGAACATCAATTTCATTGAACATATGAAGCTCACCGGTTGGAAACTGTAAGTAGAAACAGCTATAGTAACAACTAATTACTTAGTCCTGAAATAGAGAAATAATATTTGCTTCTCATGTTTTTTTGCAGGAACCAGAGGGCCAAATCAATCATTGTTGATCCTGGTTTATACTTATCAAAGAAAACCGAAATTGCTTGGACTACGCAGCACAGATCAATTCCCACTTCTTTCAAGCTGTTCACGGGTAAGCTAATATCTTCAACACGACATTACATAAACCGGTCTACTTATGAATGAAAACGTGTCAAGATGATTATTTTCTTGTCTTTAATCTTGCAGGCTCGGCTTGGGTAGTTCTGACTCGGTCTTTTCTTGAATACTCATTATTGGGATGGGATAATTTCCCGAGGACAATCTTGATGTACTACACTAACTTTGTATCTTCCCCGGAAGGATATTTCCACACAGTAATATGCAACACCGAAGAGTTCAAGAGCACTACGATTGGCCATGACCTGCACTACATTGCTTGGGACTATCCTCCAAAGCAGCATCCAAACTCTTTATCAATGAAAGATTTCGACAAGATGGTCAAAAGCAAAGCCCCCTTTGCTCGAAAGTTCCACAAGAACGATCCTGTATTAGACAAGATAGATAAAGAGCTGTTAGGCCGCACTCACCGGTTCTCTTCAGGGGCTTGGTGCGTTGGGAGCTCAGTAAACGGTGATGATCCGTGCTCTGTTCGGGGAGATGACTCGGTTTTAAAACCAGGCCCTGGTGCTGAGAGGCTAAAGGAGCTTGTTCAGACACTTTTATCTGATGAATTCAGAAGGAAACAGTGTTCATGAGAGGTAATGATTATAAACTCAAAAATTGTACATTGTTTTTGTTTCACTAGATAGGTTTTGATATACAGTTATACCAAACGATCATTGTCACCCAAACTTTTCTATATAGAAAGCTATTACATTAGCAAGAACAGTAGAAAATTTTCAAATTGATCTTGTTTCAATGCAAGAAATTAAAAGGGCTCTAACAAAAAGAGTTTGAAGAAAAGAAAAAAAGTTTTTTTTCGAAATCAAGGTTTAAGTACAGTTGTAAAGAGGATTGGGAAAAGAATCAAAATAACAAGAACAATAGCGAGGATAATGGCAATACAAGTCCATTTCCTCGAGTTCTTCTGAAGATCTTTAGCCTCGTGCAATTGATCACTCCCTCTCATGACGAAAGAGCTTGCCTTTGAAACATTAGATTCAATGTCATTGAGCATATTCCCTTGAGCTTCCACAAGAGCAGCCATGTCGAGAAACACTTGGTGCAGCTCCAGCAGACTCCGTTCTATCTCTTTAACCGCATCGTGTCGTTCTTGGATCTCTGATAATGTGTCCATGATCTGTCCACGACCTTGCTCTTGTATCGCTTTTTGGAGAAAACGTTCGCTTTCTCCGCTTGATATCAGCTTCTCAATCGTCTCTTCGTCTGCTTTTTGCCCCGTTACAGTGAAGTACCTTCAAAGATTCAAAGCCAAAAAAACTAAAACTTTACCATCTAGCCGTAAAAGATGATCTTTGTTGAATGATAGTAAAACCTTTTCTTTCAAAAGAAAGATTTGATCTTTGTGGAATCATAGTAGAACCCAAATGAAAAATAAAATCTCTAGAAAATTACCGTCTCTCGACTGTTTCTTTATACTCAGTAGCCATTTTGGTTCGTAGTCTCTGAAAATCATCCATCATGTCTTTAAGTTTCTTCCCCAATCCACTAACGACCGATGTTCTGGTCCGATCAGCAGACGAGCCAGGTCCACACCCAGGGACTTTCCTCTGAGCAGCATTTGATTTCTCCAAAGCCACGAGCTTCGACTTTATCATCTTGACACGTTTCAAGACCTCTGTAACACTCGAATCCATACGAGCACGAAGCTTTTTCACGGCCTTTGAGTCATGCACGGTCTTGGACTCTTCATTAGCCTCTTGTAGACGCTTATGAATCTCGTCGACAGCTTTCATGTCTTCTTTAACACTCTCGACATATCCGAAGAACTCATCGAGGTTTCCTGAATCGAGAGAAGCGTTTTGAGATTCAATGTCGTCGAGTTGGACTTGGTGGTTTAGGTCTGTGTATCTCTTGAACGAGCTTGAGATTAGATCGTTCATGTCGAAAAGTAGAGAAAATGAGCAACTTTCTTTTTGATCAAAGGACCATTAATGGAGGTTAGATAGTTGACATGATGCTAGAGAGACCTTTAAGAGCTGTCTGAAAACGAATGTGTTAACTTAATACTAAACAGACATTGTATGAGCTGTGTGTTTAGAACCGGTCAAGGATTTAAAGACCCAAGGAAGACTTTGTTATGAAGATGGTGTAAAATTACTACGACATTGTGATTTGGTTGGTACCATGTTGCAGAGACGTGGTCTCCATACAATGATCACTTTTAAGTTCTGTGTAACATGGAGCCCACAACCCAAAATTTTCAATGTCATTAAGCTAGTGGACCTTAAGGCTTTGATATGTTTTGTACAAAAGTTCAATAGGCTGAGAAGTTTAGAATCCAGAATGAAGAACAAAGCTTGCTGTCTTGAATAATTTAAGACTTGTAATCAGTAAAAATTCACTGATTTTCAAATCAAGCAGAAACTAAAACACCCTTTATTCACGGTATTTTTCTTGTATATTTGTTTTTCGCTAATCAAAATTTCCAAGCTCTGTTTTACACATGACATGAGACACTGACACTAAGCTAAAAAAGACTTCACATAAGACTAGACTCGATAAGACACAACAACCTCCCTCTGGAGAGAATGAACAAGACTTGTTCCTATTTCAAGTATGCAACACCAGTTTTTCACCTTTCACCTGATTGGTCTCTGAAAACCTCCCAAGTTGAAGAGAGTGTGAATGGAAGCAGCATCGGTCATGAAAGGAATCTGAGCATAAACTCCACCGAGAGCGCACCGTATGCATTCAAGAAGCAAGCAGATGTAGGTGAATCCAATCGCCATCCAATAATACATCCCAAACCGTCCTTTGAAATGAATCAGCGGGAAGAAATTGCTCGTGCACCATATGATCTGAAGAGCTGTTTCAAGAAGCATACCCATCATCATGTGAAACCTAAAGTAATGAGGCAATTCTTTGTTCTTCACCACCCACATGTAACCCAAGTAGCAGTAAGCCATGAAGAACCAGGACGGCCATCTGTTTATCGCTCCCGGGATGAAATAAATCATGTCTCCAATGGCGTCGTGCTTTTCTAGAAAGGGTTGGACGTAGAAACCAACATCAGATATTTGAAGGGATATCAAATAAGGGACACAAGCCAATGTCCTCCACCACCATTCAGGTCTCTCTGCTATTTTTGGCAGTTTGATTTTGAAGAAGTCATCTTTAAACGCTCTAGCGGGCTCTAGTGGTCTCCGGCGTCTCCTCAGACCAGGAGCCAATGGTGGCAAGCCATGAGCAAAGAGCTGGTTGGTTGATGCAGCTTCTGCTGCAAAGTCCATTGCTGCATAGTTTTAACATATTTTGGGATCAGTTGAAATACAAGAGCAGAGGACAAGCTAACATTGAAGACATGATTCTATAACAGCTTAAAAGGCTCAATTTTTTTCCCTGGTAGAATTAGATAGATATATGCTGTTCTCACTAACTTTTTCTGGTGGGTTTTTGTTCCTAGTTATATAATAGATGTTTAAAGTGGATAAACTTGAATCCACATAATACCTGAAAGAGGAGCAATCTCTCGGGGACATCTCTGTGAATTTGAGCTTGCTGACAATCCTAATTTTGGTAATGAATCAAATTTGGGGAAGCACACCCTTGGATTCACATACTTTTTTGGAATTGGACTATGGTTCCTGGTTTATAAATCATGGTCACAAAAAGGTAAACACAACATTAATCTATGTAAAAAGCCTCTAACAAAAAAGTGCATATGCAAGAAATGAACATCAAAAACTCGAGAAACTGGAGCACAATGCAAGTGACTCAATTCTTAGTACAAAAAAGACCCCATTCTAAACCCCGAATCCATTTTCGATTTCAATCTCAATATATTGCGCCCAATGATTCGATTCTCTTAGAAATTAACGATTCAAAGTTTTAAGAGCTAAAATCAACCAATATAAGACCATAATAAAACGAAGAGTCCCTTAGAAAGAAAGTAAACCAACCGATGCAACACAAATCATTACCAAAAGGAGGAACTCCAAAATCGGAGAAGGAGAAGGAAAACGCAGCGAGATCCCAAAAGAATTTAGTGAGATCATGAGAGTTGAATATGTCAGAGAGGAGAGAACAAAAGAAAACCTGGGAGCGATAAATGTAAGAGAGCCACGGTTGGTGGTCGCCGCCAATCCCTGCATAATTTCCTCTCCGGCGAAAACCTTTGAGGCTTTTAGGTTTCGATACTGAAAAAAAAAACAAAAGTCAAAAAGAAAATCGCCGTAGAGTATCTTTACGTGCAAGAAATATGAATGAATCTACCTGATGTTGACGAGGTGGGTATATTATAAGTCGGTTTTAAGGAAATTTCTCGAACTTGTGTCCCCAATCTTAATGGGCTTTCCACAGAAGCCCAAATATCACATAATTCCGCCGGTTTACATAAAACCAAGCGGTTTGAACGCAAATGTAAATGATTTAGATTGAGAAATTATTTGATTTGAACACAAATTATTTACTTTGCACATTGTTTTAAAGTTTTTTGTTCTAAACCTAACAGTAGTAATCGAAATATTTATTAATATCACAATTTTAATATTAACATGACTCAAAATCTCTTCGTGAAAAATCAAACCCTAAATTGGAAAAAAGAGATAAATGTTGTGAAAACTTAGAAACTTTATTAATCACTAGAATGTATATATAGAGTACATAGGGAATCTAGGTTAAGTACAATGCTCTGATGGGCCTAATGGGCCGGTATAAGAGTCCATATATGATATGTGTTATAACACTCCCCCTTGGACGAGTGAACCGGGCCAGCTACTCAATCGGGATCTCGATAATGCGCTGGGGAATGTTGCCTCATTAAAACCTTACCAGGAAAAACCCAGTGGGACAAAACCATGGTGAAGGAAAAAGAGTACAACACGCATTACTCCCCCTGATTGTAGCATCACTGCAGATCTCTAAGTCTATACATTCCTATCTGTTTGACGAGCTTCCGGTGTGTTGAAGTAGGCAATGATTTGGTGAAGAGGTCAGCTGAATTCTCACTGGATCGGACCTGCTGAACGCTGAGAGTGCCGTCCTTCTGCCAGTCTGAGGTTGAGAAGAACTTCGGTAGAATGTGCTTCGTCCGATCTCCTTTGATATATCCTTCCTTGAGCTGAGCTATGCATGCCGCGTTGTCTTCATACATCACCGTGGGCTGTGTGTCTTCGTCCATACCACAATCTCTGCGGATGTGCTGAGTCATGGAGCGCAGCCAGACGCATTCCCTACTAGCCTCATGAATGGCTAGGATTTCAGCATGGTTTGATGAAGTGGCAGTGAGTGTCTGCTTCATTGATCTCCAAGAGATGGCTGTTCCTCCATGCGTAAAAACGTAGCCAGTTTGAGACTTGGCAGTGTGCGGATCTGATAGATATCCTGCATCGGCGAAGCCGACTAACCCATCTTTATTTTGGTTAGTATAGAAGAGTCCTAAGTCTTGAGTACCTCGAAGGTATCTTAGGAGATGTTTTATACCGTTCCAGTGCCTCTGAGTTGGGGATGAACTATATCGAGCGAGGAGGTTCACGGCGAAACATATGTCTGGTCTAGTGTGACTAGCCAGGTACATTAACGCTCTTACAGCACTGAGGTATGGCTTTTCAGGACCAAGGATTTCTTCATCATCCTTTTTGGGACCAAGAGGGTCATCACTTAAGCTTCTAACTACCATTGGGCTGGTCAATGGGTGAGCTTGGTCCATATTAAATCGCTTGAGTACCTTTTTGATATAAGCCGATTGATGCACAAGGATTCCTCCTTTGATGTACTCAAGTTGTAATCCCAAACAGTACTTTGTTTTGCCTAGGTATTTCATTTCGAATTCTGCTTTTAAGCAGTCGACTGTTTGGGAGATCTCACCAGATGTTCCGAGGATGTTTAGATCATCCACGTATACTGCTATGATTACAAATCCTTTGTTTGAGTACTTCTTGATGAAGATGCATGGACTGATGGGGTCATTTTTGTAGCCTTCTTTGATGAGGTAATCGCTGAGGCGGTTGTACCACATACGCCCACTTTGTTTCAGTCCATACAAGGATTTGTTCAGCCTGATGCAGTATTGATCTCGAGATGCATTTTTGTCTTTTAGTTCAATGCCATCTGGGAGTCTCATATATATTTCGTTGTCCAGGGGCCCATAGAGATATGCGGTTACAACATCCATTAACCGCAGATCAAGATTTTCTCTTATGGCCAGACTTATGAGGAATCGGAATGTTGTTGCATCCACCACTGGAGAATAAGTCTCCTCATAATCAATTCCGGGTCTCTATGAGAATCCTTGTGCTACAAGCCGTGCTTTGTATCGAACGACTTCACCGAGTTCGTTCCTTTTACGCACAAAGACCCATTTGTGGCCCACTGGCTTGATGTGTGATGGGGTCCGGATGATCGGACCGAACACGTTTCTGAGTTTGAGACTCTTTAACTCCACGTTTATGGCTTCTTTCTATTTTAGCCAATCTGTTCGATGTGTACACTGTGTTATTGACGTGGGTTCTAGATCCTCTTGCGTGAGCGCAACATCAAGTGCTACTTTGTATGCAAAGAGTGCATTTAAGTCGACTTCTTTTCGATTCCATTGTATTCCGGACATATTGTAATTGATGGAGATCTCATTGTTATCTTCTGAACCTGGAGATTCGGCGTCCCGAACTTCCATTGAGGGTTCATTAGATTGAGTCTCAGCCGCGGCTATGTCTGATATTGCAGGAATCCCGGTTTCGGTTATTGCACCTTTCTTTGATTTCCGGGGATTCTTATCTTTGGAACCGAGAGGTCTGCCCCGTTTGAGACGTGGTGCAGACTCTGTAGCAACTTGGGTCTGTCCCGTTGGGACAGCTATTCGTACTGGTGCATTACAAGTTGGGATGTATGATTTGGTTACTTTGGTCGGGTCAGCAAAGGAATCTGGCAATTGATTAGCTAGCTTTTGATAATGAATAATCTTTTGGATCTCTGAATCACATTCTAGAGTCCGAGGATCTTGCCAATTTAATGATGTTTGATTCCATGAAAGATCTTTGACCAGCTTGTTTGTCTCACCACCTAAAGAGGGATATACCGATTCATCGAATTGGCAATCCGCATATCTGGCCTTGAAGAGATCTCCAGTGGTTGGCTCGAGATATCTTATGATGGTGGGAGAGTCAAAACCAACATATATTCCCATCCTTCTTTGAGGTCCCATTTTGGTTCGATGTGGTGGAGCAATGGGTACATATACTGAACACCCAAATGTTTTGAGATGGGAGATGTCTGGCTCATGATCCGAGAGTAGTTGGGATGGGGAATATTTGTGTTCACTAGATGGCCGGATGCGTATGAGTTCAGCAGCATGTAATACTGCATGTCCCCATGCTGAGGCCGGGAGCTTTGATCTCATGAGTAATGGTCGGGCTATCCATTGAATGCGTTTAATGAATGATTCAGCCAATCCATTTTGAGTATGGACTTGTGCTACAGGATGTTCCACGGTTACCCCCATGGCCATACAGTAGTCATTAAACGCTTGTGAGGTAAATTCACCAGCATTGTCAAGTCAGGGAAATGGGCCCGCAATTTGATGATTTGGGCCAAGAACCTAGCGAAGGCTTGGTTCCGAGAGGACAAGAGACAAACATATGACCAACGGGTCGATGCGTCTATAAGGACCATGAAGTACCGGAATGGTCCGGAAGATGGATGTATAGGTCCACAGATATCGCCCTGGATTCTTTCTAGGAAATGAAGTGTTTGTTTAGAGATTTTAACTGGTGAAGGCCGAGTGATCAATTTGCCTTGAGAACAAGCTGTGCACATGAGGTGTTGAGGATAAGCTCGGTTTTCTTTGAGGGTATGCCCTTGAGAGTTTTGAATTAGTTTACGCATCATATTTGCACCGGGATGACCGAGCCGGTCGTGCCAAATAGTATAATCAGTAAACCGGGCTTTGAGAGTGGTATTAGCTTCAATCATACTGACTTTAGCATGGTAAAGTCCAGTAGAGAGCGCGGGTATGGTTTCGAGGATTTGTTTATGGCCGTCTACGGTTTTAGTGACTAAGAGGGATTCTTTGTTCCCTTGACCTTGGGTTTCTATGTGGAAACCATTCTGTCTTATATCCTTGAAGCTCAGAAGATTTCTCTTCGAACTAGGAGAATATAGAGCATCTGGTATTTCCAGTTGTGTGCCATTTGACAGCAACACATAGGCATGGCCATATCCTTCGATAAGGTTTGAGGGACCCGCGATGGTGCTAATATTTGCGGTTTGATAGGTTAGGTTTATGAAGTAACTTTTGTTTCTTAAGATAGTGTGGCTGGATCCACTATCTACGACTATGGTTTCCATTTGCTGGTGTGCTTCATTATGAATAGAAGATAGAATTCAGTATTGAGGAATTCAGAAAATGTGATAAATCATAAAGTAAAGCAGTGTCTGAGAATAAAGGCAAATGGAAAAAAAAAATGGAACAAATCCCAAAATGAAAAAAAATAAAGAACAAAATCAAATTGTATCAGTGTTTCAGATGATTGAATTAATCGAGGAGATCAGCTGTTTCATAGTCCATGGGGTCGGTCTGCTCGTTTGTGGTGTTCTCATCATCAAGGAGGTCGTCACCTTCCAGGTTAGCAGCATCGACTGGCTGAGTCATGTTGGCTTCAGCAGGAGCTTTTCCGTACTTCTGGTATAGATCGCAGTGGATCTTGGGGGTGCGACATTGCTTTGTTGGGTGGTTGAACATCCCACATCTGGTACAAGCAGAGTGATCGGGGTTGGTGTGGCGGGTCGGCTTGGTGATGCCTCGACCACGACCAGGACCATAACTGAGGTTAGGTCGGTTGCCACGACCATGTCCGCGTCCACGTCTTCCACGTCCATGTCCTCGGCCATTACCACGTCCATTACCACGTCCACGGCGGTGATCTGAGGATCTATCGGGTTGAACATGGTAGGACTCTTGACGAGAAGCTGGGACAGGAGCCGATCCCGGGGGCCTCATAGCGCTGTTCCTCATAAGCAGCTGGTTATTCTTCTCAGCGAGGAGAAGACAGGACAACAAGTCTTCGTACAATGTGTGTTTCATTGCACGGTATTGTTGTTGGAGCACAACATTCTCTGTGCTGAATGTGGATAATGTTTTCTCGAGAAGATCATTATCTGTCACATCCTCGCCACAGAGTTTCCGGATGGCAACAATACGAAAGAGTTCGTTGTTGTAATCATCTACGGATTTGTAGTCCTGGAACCGAAGGTTCTTCCAGTCGAAATCTGCCTGAGGCAACTGGACCATTTTCTGATGGTCATATCGCTTTTTCAGCGCTTGCCACAATTCAAGTGGATTCTCAAGAGTGAGATATTGCTGCTTAAGGCTCGGGGCCAGATGATGGCGTATGTGACATATCGCCTGAGACTGTCCCTTACGGGATGCGGTGTTACCGTCGGTAATACATGCATCGAGTTCTTTCGATGCAAGGAACAAGCGCATGTCTAGGGCCCACTCGAGGTAGTTATCCCCGGAGACGTGAAGGGCCTCGAATTCACATTTCTGAATGTTTGACATCTGAAACATGAGATTGATTTTGTTAGGGATTGTTTTGAGAAAATTTTGAATGCTGATGATGAAACTTTCTATTTTGAGAATATTTCTATTTTAGGAAAGTTTCTAAATTTGGAAAGTTTCTAATTTGGGTAATTTTCTAAATGAGGAAAGTTTCTATGTCGGGAAAATTTCTATATGAGGAAAGTTTTTATATGAGGAAACTTTCTATTAGAGGGAACTTTCTCGGAAATAGTAAATTTTAAAGGGTATGGTTTTAGTTACCCCGAACATGATGTCGGTTTAATAGCTGTGATTTAATCGGTTAAAGCCGAATATAATTTCGGTTAATGAGAACCAGGTTTAGCCGGTTTTAGGCGGTTTAGGAGGAACCCTAGGGGAGCCGAATATGATTAGGGTTTTATCTAGGGTTTTAACGGTTTGGAAAACATATTTTGGATGTGATTTCGAGATCTATAGGATCTGTGGTCGATGGTTTTAATAATTTCACAAGGACAACAAAGAAATCACGTGAAAAGGACTAGGGTTTAAGCATTATGACTTACGATTTTGAAGATTACAAAATCGTGAATCAAGCTTAGGATTTAGGGTTGATTTTCTTAGTTTATTCAATCAAGTGTTTCAAGCAAGAGAATCAACAATCAAATAAGCTGCAACAAGCTTATTAAACATGAAGAAAATCGAATAGGTTTATGCCATAAACATGGCCAAAAACGGTTGTTAGGTTTTTGTAGATTAGGGTTTTATAAAACGAGTTTAAAACCTTTGAACATGCATAAACTTGTAATTTAAACAATCAATCAACAAGTTATCAATCAATCATCAGAGTATCAAACACTTTCAATCAATTAGAGATCGATTTTTTTTTTTTTATTTTTTTATTTTTTTTTTTATAGGGTTTTGAAGTGTTTAAACAACAGGTTCTATGGCTTTCAGTTTTAGAAGATACCTTTTCCACCTTTGGATTTCTGACAGGCTAATGAAACTGGGAGCTAATAGACCTCAGTTAGCCGCTACAAATTCCAAGGATTGATCACCAAAACTGGAGAAACTGCTGGTTGAAGAAGGAAAAACTCGGATCTGGTTTTTTTTTTCGGTTGATCGTCGTGTACTGTAAGTGTGCGTGAGGGCGCGTCCGACGTTGGATCGACAAACGGTTTTCACCAGTAGATTCGTCTCGTCGAGGGCTTCGATTTGATATGTAGATCGTCTTCTGGTTCCTCACGGTTTGGAAGATATGCGTCTTTTAAGTTTCGACTTGCTTTTAGGGTTTTGGTGGTGGCCGGATTTATTAGGGTTTTCGCTCAGAGAGTCTTATCGTGCTGATAACGTGTTGTGAAAACTTAGAAACTTTATTAATCACTAAAATGTATATATAGAGTACATAGGGAATCTAGGTTAAGTACAATGCCTTGATGGGCCTAATGGGCCGGTATAAGAGTCCATATATGATATGTGTTATAACGATAAATAAGTATTTTTCAATTTCACATAATATTTTGTGCTACTTTTTGAGTTTTAATCTTAGTGTATTAAGGTTGGAACAAAAAAACGAATTGAATGTATAAGAAAATCATTTTCGAATATAGAAAGATAGTCATACTGTCATACATAAGACGAAATCGACAATTCAAACCTTCCCTTCTTAAGAGCGAAAATCTAACAAAATTATTCCATAGCAAGATCGAAGAAATCAAATGAGAGGAGAAAAGATTGAACCGACAACGAATAGGCTAATCAATTAGTGGGCTAGCTTTTGTACAAGGCCCAAATTCTAGAAAACATGTCGGTTTACATTAAACCGACAACAACAAAAAGGAAATCAATTAGCGGGGTAGTTTCGACAATTTTGGGTCGGTGTTTTTAATGGGCTAGGGTTTTAAAATCAACGCATATGCTCTTCTATATAATTGCCGCATGAAACCTTATTCCAATCATCTCCACCTTACGATTGATTTTTAAATTAGGGTTCTTCAGTTTTTTTTTTTTTTAAGTGTTAGGGTTATTGGTATAATTAAGGTTTCGCAGGAGCCTCCCGGGCTAATCTGATAATAATTCTTGAGGAATTAAGCCCCAAAGCTCCTGCTAGATTTAATGCCATTCGTGTTGCAGTTCTGTCTCAAATTTTGTCTGGCTTAACTGTGTCTAAGCAATGTCTAGATTTTTTTGTGTATTGATTCTTGATCGTTTACAGGAATTGGCTATGATTACAAAATTATCCGCGCTTCTGAGATTTGTCTATGAAGTATATACGGAAAAACAATGGTTGAATTTCTTAATATGAGCCTACTTCCTTTTGATTTCGTTTTTAGTGTTTTCTTCTTTTTTTTGGGCATTGATGATTAAATCTAACAGCTTTACGCCAGTTCTGCTTCAGAAAATTCTTGATAGAAGAAGCTGTATATAAATCTGAGCCTTTTTAAAATAAAATTTTTGTGTTTTTTTTGGTTGCCGGTGATGATTCAATCCAAATTTCGAGGTGCAGTGGAGCTGAGACCCTGTTTTCAGGGAGAACCCCTCAGCAGAAACTGCAATTTCTATGAAGATAATGGATTTAACTGAGGCTTTGAATTTACATCTGTGTGTAATTGTGTTCTTATTTACTAATCGTTGGTTAATCTTTTGAGTTAAACTATACACTAGCATTAGCTTATGTGCTTGTAGTCTGAATAACTCAGTAATTAGATGTGTTAACATCAGCTTTATCTCTGGTTTGGACCTTGGGATTTGAGTTAAACTATAAAACACCAAATTAATTATCTTAATGGCCCGATTAATAAGGAAATTAACCAGACCCGCGACGATAATGAGTTTGCTCGTGTCGATTACATGACGTTGATATAAAAACATATGAACGAAAATTACGCCTGATGGTCAGAAAAGTCGGTCCATTAACTGTAAATGCCCATTTAATGTATTTCAAATTGGATTTGAGTGGATTTGAGTGGATTCATGTCTTTCCAATGAAAGATTGAATTATGGAGGAATCAGAGAACAATATCAAATTGGAACAGTATGTCATCACATTATAAACAAGTCTACAATTTTTACAATGTGCTCTCGCAAGTCTAGGCTATAAACGATTTGGTTTTGACCATGTGATTGTTTTTCCTTCTAGAACCCGGGAGAATAAAATGGATAAAAAAATAACCAAAAAGTATAAACAAAAGTAAGAAAAAGAAAATCGTTAATCATCAGCTCGTAGAGCTAAAAAACCGACCTTTTTTCATCATTTGTCTAAACTCCTTGTAATTAACTCTACCATCACCATCAACATCCACTTGTAGTATCATCTGCTTACATTCCTCCAAGGTCTTTCCTTGCTTGAGTCCCAAGGAAGACAAAACCGCTTTTAATTCATCCACCGATATAAACCCATCTCCATTCCGATCGAAAACGTTGAACGCTTCCTTCAGATCTTCTTCTCCTACCTCGTCCTCGTCTTCGACCATTATCGTCTTGTAAAGCTCCCCAAACTCTTCAATGTCCACACAACCATCGCCATTCACATCGATCTTTTCGATCATCTTAGATAGTTCAGTCTCTGGTATTATGATCCCGAGGTTTTTTAATGACTCGTATAGCTCCTTCTTTGTGATCCGTCCATCTCCGTCCTTGTCGAACATTTGGAACACACGTTTGAGCTCCGTGGAATCCATTTTAGGGTTAGGTTTGGAATTGAGATTGCGTGTGGAGGAAGAAAGCGTTAGAAAAGAGAATGATGAGGCTCCGAGAAACCGAGAAAGAGGTCCTTTCTTGGCCTCTTGGAGACCCTTTAGTTTCAGAAACTAAGGAGAATGTAAAAGAAATGTGATTGAAAGTCTTTAGCCAAAAAAAGTCGAGGTAATAACTTGTAAATATGGACAAAAATAGGAGAGATTCTTAGGGTTGGATTATTGTTGGTCGAGAGGAAGTGTTGGGTCTTTTTAAAGGAATCTTGTGGCATTGTATCAAAAGTATTATAAAATTGTTCGGTTCCATAAATTTCAACCCAAAAAGCTTCATTTTATTTTTAGCTAACTCATATTTCTATCCGAATTCAATAAAACAATGCTGATTTAAATCCTATAACAACCATTAAATCACTAAAACATCAACTTAAATAAAAGTAGTATTTTAATTTAGCATATTTATCTCTATATTATTATTTGAGTAGACATTTTTTAAAATGAACTTAAATGTGTAAGTTATTACATGAAATGCCATTACAAATAACAAAAATAACTAAAATAGGAAAGGATATAATTGTCTTTCAAATCTATTTAAAACAATATGGAAAGTGTTTGTTTCTCTTATATTTGAGTATATTTACATTTCTAAATTTAAAAATATGACAATTTCTTATGTTATTTATTTTAAATGAATAATGTAAAAAGTCAAGATTAAAATTATGATATTGAAAAATGGTGAAATCTTTTATAAGTATAATTTGTTATGTTACTTGATTATAGACAAAATTTATTTTTACCAAAAAATTTGACATGAAATTTTTTTTTTGGAGTGTGAATCATTAAAGAATATATATTAAAATTGTTTTTTTAAGTTATATTCTAATAAAATACAAATAAGTTATATAGACGAATTACTTCGATATGAAAAGATTATGATTCTAATTTTTTAATATCCAAAAACAAATCTTGCGATTCTAAATATTAATTTTTAAAATAGGTGGTATATATTCAATCTACTAAATAATATATTTTATTTTTTATATATCAAACCTAAGTTTTACAAAAATTATACTATTTTAAAGAAGATAAATTTAATTTTTATAGTTTGCGAACAGACTATAAAACTCAGTTATTAATAAACAGTTTATTTTGCTTTATTTATACTATTTATTATTATTTAAAAATATGATAAAATTCATCAGCCAACAATAAATTAAATTTCTATTTGATGAATGTAAATTTTTACGTGATATAACTATAGGCATAGTTATATATACCGATAAAATTTATAAAATAAAATTTGAAATTAATTATTAAAATATTATTTAAAATATTATAATTCCGCGTATATATTACGTGAGTTAATTTCTAGTAAAGGTATTAATTAACTAGTAACTAATTAGCCGGCGAAAAACATCCAAATCCTTTGGAGTGGTGAACCACTATGTTGTACTGTCCCAACTATGTGAAGTCGTTGAATTCACTTTTATAATTAAAAAAATGAAGAAAATATGTCAACAAAAATAAAAATATTTTAATATAACCCAGTTTTTGTAATGATTTATGTTCGCATTATTATTACTCGCTTGTGTTATGGGAACAAATCATGCCATTTAGAAATGTGAGAACATTTGTGAAAAAAAGGATAAAATAAAACGTGCTATATGATACAATAAATATTAAGAAAATAGAGTAGATGAAAATGCCCACACGCAGGATTGAACTACGGACCTTCAGTTTACAAGACTGACGCTCTACCACTGAGCTATACGGGCATTCTGTTCATGTGAAACATGAATTATATTAATATTGACAATATATTCTGTTCTATAAACAAAACAAATGATTTAGATGTGACCACTGACCAGTAGAGGAATAACAAGAATAAAGAGGAAAAGAATGAAAATGAACAAAATAATAGAAATATATTTTCCTTACTGTTGTTCTTCGAATTTGGTGGTGGAGAAATTATTTTGTTGTATTGTTCCCTAATAAAGAATAAATGAAAAGGAATTATATGTAGAAAAATTACTTGTAAATGGTGTACTTGTTTGAAAATGAAGAGGAATGACTTGAAAAAATAAAATCTTCTAAATGGTGTATTTTTTGGAATGAAGAGAAATTGATTATTCCTCCTCTGATCACCATTCATAGCAGTGAAGAAACCAAATCAACACCAAAGACTTAAAAGAAAAACAAAGTGAAGCTAAACAGCAAAAGACATGGGAAGTGAATGAACATAATATTCATATATGAGGCAAGAATTCACAGAGTAATGCCATGAAATGTATGCTTACACACAGCTTTTACATCATAAGAACATTCAAACAAGTATAACACAAAAAGACTCAGCCTTTCTTCTTCCCACAAAAGAGTTATTGTAGAGTTTAAGACCACCATGGTGCATCACCAGTCCTGAAGTCAGTCTCAACCCATGGAACAAACACAACCTTCCCACCATCATCGATATCCGCGTGAGCCAAGGCAAGCGACTGTTTTCATGAAAATCAAGTTTTTTCTTTAGAAATTTTACTTGAGAGATACGCATATTAGAGATAATGCAATGTATTTGACTTACCAATGGCGCTGGACCTCTAACAACTCTGCCTTGGGCATTGTATTGGGATCCATGGCAAGGACATAGAAACTTGTTCTCGGCTTTGTTCCACGGCACAACACATCCAAGATGAGTGCACACTGCGTTTATACCGTAGGTCGCTAGTGTCTTGTCGTTCTCCACAACTAGGTAAGTTGGATCTCCCTATAAACATAATAGCCAACACCATTGAGATGCAAGAACCTTTATTGAGAGCTTAAAGTAATGTTTCAAGGGCTTGATGAACTTCTTCATCTTCGTATAGTAATAATTGAAGTTTTTTTACCTTCAATCCTTGGGTCAGGGTTCGATCACCAGCACCATGAGTCTTAAGCCATTCATCTGCAATTACATCGTTTCCAAGTGCATCCTTGGCTGGGGTACCACCACCTCCACCTCCGGATCTGAATTGAAACCAAGAACAATGAATTAAAAGAAACTTTATATGAAGTCTCACTGATCTCACATCTCAGTTACATCAAAGTCGAAAGAGATTCATAACTACATATTGGATTGAATCAGAAACAATAGCTAACAACATACAGAGCAAACTCAAACTTCACACCAAAGCAAAACACATTACAAAGAGGAAAGCAACTTCATCAAGTCTCATTGTAATCACATATCGGTAACACCAAAGAAAACCATCCACTTGTTCATAATTACATATTGGATTGGAACAGAACCAAAAGCTACTCGCTTTATCATATCAGGCAGAGAAAAATTCAAACTTTACACAAACAAAAACACAATACAAAGAGTCTAAAGATTTTATCTCCAATCCAATCCAATACAGAACGCAAAAATCTATAAGTGAAGTGAGGGAAAGTTTGAAAGGAAACTGACCCAGGAGGGACAAAGAAGGTAGCGTAAGGAACAAGCATGTAGCCGCTAGGGAGAGAAAGAGCCCCGACAAGGAGAAGATTCAAGAGTTTTCTCTTTTCCATATCTGGAACTCTGTCCGCTGGGATACTCGTCGCTTGACAAGCAATTCTCAATCCAATCTTCTCCTTTCTAACCATTTGATGATTCGTCCTCGTTGGTTTCACAAACAACCCACGCGACATCGCCAACATAGCGCTTCTGCTCGAACCAAGCTGCACCCAAAAAACAAAATCCACAAAATTTTTAAAAAAGCAGTTAAAGGATCTGCCTTGAAACTGGTAAAGCCAATACAAAGTGACCCGATTGTCATATCGACCAAGCCAAAGTGAAAGAAAAAAAATTTCAGAAACCCATGAAACAAGTGAGAGAAATATGTTTCGATTTCGGATGATCGAGAGTGAACCTGAGTAGCAGGCGAGATGGAGGACGACGCCATTGATGTAGCCGAGATTGTGAAAGGGTTTTGGTAAAATGGAGCTTTTGATGTTATGAAGAAGGAGGAAGACAAGTGGGATCACACAGAGAGCTTTAAGACCACTGAAGAGAGAGAAGCAGATAAGGCACGCGCCAACCTCTGCTTCCACATAGCCACATACTTTTCAGATTTTGGATTTCCCCCGATGACGTCATCGTAATGGGCTTTAAAAACGGGCTCATTAAGGTAACTAAATGGGTCATAACTCAGAAGCCTAACAGTAGATTAGATAGGGTCCATGATGGTTCATACAGTCCAATTATAAATTGCCATTTTTTTTTAGCTAAAAGGTATCAAATTGGCTCTGTGGGTCAATGAAATTCATTCCAGCCAATATATTTTTTAATTAAAAAGAAGAAATATGTAACCGAGAGGGAGACCGAGAGAGACTATAGTCAAATTAGTAAACTGATGATATGATGAAATGTGCATGGCGTGAGACTCTCAGTCTGAGAGACATGCACTCATCACGTGCTTGCATGTGTGTCTCTTTGCTTTCTCTCTTTTCTTTTCTTTTTTCTTAACTGATAATCATCCCCAATACATAGTATTTTTCTTTCTTAATTGGCGCGGCTAATCAGTTTTGCATTATTAATTAGGCACGTAATTATGAAAATCTCCTCATATCCGGTGCCATTCTTGCATTGAATCTTTCACTGCAGTTAGATTTAATAGTCCACATTTATATCCCTAAATTTACCATTTTTTTAACATTAAATTAACCATTTTTTGATGTCTTTAATTTTCACAAGTTTGTACAATTGTACTTACTTGAATATATATCATCAATCTCCTTTCATAGCAGGAAAATGGAAATATATGCTATGGGTAAAAACATTCATAAGCTTATCGACAAGTTGAGTGCTTGAGTAGTACTACCTAGGGCTGGGCAAAATATCCGTTATATTTGCTTCGATCCGTTATCTGTCTTGATTCGATCCGAAAAATCTGGATATCCGTAATTTTATGGAGTAAAGAAAATACTAAAATTCAATATTCGTTAAAAACGGAGCAAATCACAAATACTAAAAAAGTTAAGATGGATATCCGCTCCGCTTCGGTATAAATATATATGTATATATAGATAGATAATAATTTATATAAAGTGTATAATTATTATATATAAATATATTTTTTGTGAATTTTTTGTTTATAAATTTGATTATTATAAATATTAAAACTTAATAAGTTAAAAAATATATTTTTAAAGAAAATATTGTCATTTTTAGCTAAATTTTGATTTTTAAAATTTTTATTTAAACATATTATTATTTAAATATTTTTATGGGACGGATCGGATATCCGGCAAATATTTAGATTTTTATCGGATATCCGGAAAACGGATATCCGGATAATTACGGAACGGATACAAATCGGAGATATGATTATCTAGACGGAGCGGAGCGGATTACGGATATCCTCAAAATCCAGGATATCCGCTCCGCGCCCAGCCTAGTACTACCCGTTTCATTTCCACGAATATTATGTCGTAAAAAAGTTATCGTTCAAATTCATTTGTTTTGCAAACTTGCAATAAAGCTAATGCGTTGGATACATCCAAAAAAATACGTGATTAGTGTTTTTTAAAATGATCAAGATGAATGATACAAATCAAATAATTAAAATATTAACTTGTAAAATGGAACTAATACTGAAAATGCGTTACCGATTAAAATGGTTTGTGATCATTCTTTCTATTGTGTGATAAAGACTTTTTCGGTCGGCTCTATTTTGGTAATGGTTAAAAAAGCAGAACATGCGAATGTTCTTTTGAATAGATTTTTTCACAAAAAAAAAGAATACACCAATGTTACAAAAACATAAACTTCTAAAGAAATGAAATAAATTCAATTGTGGGAGTGCTTTTAGGCTTTCCCTTTATCCAATGCATCATATCTTTCTTGTCCTCTTTCCAACAATGCATATCATATCTAAAACCTTGAAAATTCGTTAGCTAAAGTAAAAATATATCACAATTTAGAGTCTTATTTGAATTTCATTAACATATTGACACTTTATTGTTATGGTCCATATAGAATTCCAGTAAGTAATAGCAAAGAAACAAAACAAAACAAAAATATAAAATCTCTTTACTCACAGTAGAATTCCAGTAGAATCCGTTGGATTTGAGATGTAAGAAAAAAAACCTAATCATATTAGTATCTATTAGTTCCGAGTATTTTTAAAATGTAGGTACCTCTTTATTTTTAGTATTTTTTAATCAACATTAAGCATATAATATAGAATTTTTTAATAGACTAGCTTAATTGTTTATATGCGAAGGCGGTTAGCAAATAAAAACGTTACAATTAAAGACATGACATACTGTATTTAACGAAATATCTTGATTTTTTTTTTTCAAACCAATCACTAATGGCCAGAAGCACACAATAGATGAAAACCTTTACGTTCCATGACTTCTTTTGTAGGATCGTTGCCCCGTGTTTCTCACAGCAACATCAACCTCATCACAAAAATATTTCTCCCAATCTCAACATTATCACAAACTTGACACAATTTGTATAAAATTCTGGTTTCCCGATTCTTTGTTATAACATCATATATGTGTGTGTGTCTTAGAAACAAAGCACATTTTTTTCCTTGTAGAGAATTCACAATCTCTCCAACGTCTTCTTCGTTTTTTGATACATGAAAAATGACCAACACGACTTACCAAAAAACGTTAGATAATAGACCATTCAACACCAAAGAGAACTCTAATAGAATATTTGCAAAAGGAATATTGTAATAGCAGTCTAAAAAACAGCATAAGCATATAGTTAAAAGTACTTCTACGATTGTAGATTTATAATGAATAAAATGTTGGATATAAATATATGACAAAAATGCAAATATAAAGATGGCGCAATGGTGAAGCAAGGCACCCAATGCACAGAAGTGAGCTCATAAAGTTACTGACTCTTCTTCTAATATTCGTCTGCTCCCCTTTTTATCTAGTTTTTTTTTTTCGTATTATTAAATGGGTAATATAAAAGAAGAAAGCACCTCAGTGCTTTACATGACATATGTATATAAATTGGAGTCCTTGAAACGTTCGAGACTCAGAAAGAAAAAATAAACTCAGGGATTATGTCTATAGTAGATATAATCAATGTTAGCGACAAAAGCTAAACTAACTAATACTCTTGAATATGGCAACACCCCATCTCCATTAGTCAATTTCAGCCAATTGATTACCAATTACTTGCAATCTCCGTTATCAACATTTTATTTTTACTATATGCATGTCGAAGCTTTGGATTCCACGGAAGATTACAATTCTTATCGGATACAATTAGTCATACTAATAAAGTAAACAAATCACATATCTTGCTTATACATATGGTAACTATATCTATATGTAGAGAGAGGTTAGAAAATCGTGCATATTATATATGTACACACATATTTCATCAAGGTATCTTAATCTAAATTCTCGTGTATATATGCGTTGATCATGATGAAACATTGTGGCTGTTAGATGACCGGTCAATGCTAATCTCTCTCTCTCTATATAAAAGGTTTCCAATGATAACCGACATATATTATTAACAGTTTGACACGTCTTACTTGAAACTTCGTATAAAACATATTAATTGGATAATAACATTAATTAGTCATGAACTTAAAAATGTGTTATATACTATATAATGTCATGATTTGGTCGTGGGATCTCACTCTCTTCCACACTCTGCAGTTGCAGAAACAAATAGCAGGGAATTTGAATTATATTTCGCTATTTATTTTTGTGATTCTCTGGAATGTCAATATATATATATATATATATATATATCTGCGATGGATCATGGATGATTTATTTTGTTGCTTCGAGATTAAAGTATTTTTCTTTCGGGGTAGCTGAATTCAGCGTACCAAGTTAATCATAAAATATACAAGCAACTATTAAACAATGAAGTGGTTTGAAAAAGTTTATAAAAAAAAGAAGAAGAAGAAGTGGTTTAAAAATTAAAGTGCATTTTATGAAAGCCATTCTGATCTTAATTTATAAATTACTGCACTATACTTAGAATTATCGACAGTTAAAAAGTACCAATTAATACTTAAGGATTTAGCATCATTGTTAATGGAGGAAAGTAAGAAAATAAAAGCAATGCAAATTTTAAAGTTCAAAACAATGTAGGTGCCCCTTGAGAATTTGGGTGTTATATGCATTTACACTTTAATTCTTCATTAATTTCCATTTTTCTTATGCAATTCTTTTCCTTAAATATATATGATTAGTATCTCTCTTCTTTATTAATTATATTATTATAATCACTTCTCTGTTGTTTACAATAAATACCCCCAAAACTAAAACAACCCCTTTTTTCTTACGTTACACGCATAATTTGTATTTCCTTTACATCTTATTTTTGTTAGGTACTGTATTGTACTAACGGTCAGTCAATATGCTTCTTTTCTTTTTTTTTTCTTCATTTCGTTCGCAACTACATTTTCAAAGGGCTTTGTATTTCACGTTTCCAGGATATATATAGAAATGATTTTTTTTTTTTGTAATTTTCGTTTTAAAATAGTCAGCCAGGCTTTGACAGTAAAAGATAAAAGTAAAAAAAAAAAAGAGGTTGTTCAAATGGCGTATTCACATGGCAGTTTGGTTATTGACTTATCAGTTTTTCTTTATTGACTTCAGAACTTAACTAATTTGACTATGCATATATATATATATATTGGGAAATTCAAAACCTAACAAAAGGTGAGTACAAAGACGTAAGGACAAGGAAAGCTAAGCTGTCACAACCTAATTAACAATACTATATGATAAGATTTCAAAAGTTAATTAATGTTTGTAACTGCTAGGACGAGATTTTGATTATAAAAAGTAAAACTGATAGGACGAGAGATTCCAAAGTGACGAATCTTTTAATGAGTTTTCATATAAATACAACAATACATTACAAAAGCTTTATAAATTACTACGTAATTTGGTTAAAAATATGGTACGATGATATATGATGGTGAAAATTCCATATAACTATTTAAATACACATATTTTTCAACTCCCAAAAATACATCAACTAAATCATTTTTCAACCAAAAGTACACCATTATACCTTTAAATTGTATCTCTCTGTCTTATCGATTAAATAAAAATATTACGACAGTTAACATTTCGGTAAATCAGTGAAATAAATTAAAAATCTAGATATTATAATAGAAAAAAAATTAGTTGATATGAATGTTGAAAAACTTCGTGCATCAGATTTATAATAGAAATTAAAGTGATGCATTGTTATGGGATTTTACCTGTATAATATTAGTATACTGTATATTCATAATTAATCGATAAAACTTTAAAATTACAAAAGAAAAAATATTTGATTTATGATTTATATTCTTCGATAGAATCTGAACTCTTGATTAACGACAAAATCGAATAATTTTATAGAGATCATTTATAGTAACTCAAGATAAATAAATAAAATATTAAAATCCCTCAAAAGACCAAAACCCCTCTCTCTCGCAATAAAGACAACTCCTCTCTTTTAATGTCTCTCTGTCTCTCCCATCTCTCCTTCTTCTAACACCAATTCTGAAGAAGGAAGCTTGAGAGACTCTCAAGCAATGGAGTTTCTTCTCGAACATCCTCTCTCACATTCTTCTCTCGACAATAACTTCAACGACGAATCAGACGATTATTCCTTACCACTTTCTCTCTTCCTCGTCGAATTTCAGCACATGCCTTCTTCTCACTACTTCAATAGCCTCAAGTCCTCTGCTTTTCTTCTCTCTAATCGAAACCACGCCGTTTCTTCAATCGTTCAGGTCTTTTAACAACTTACCCAAAATCCCACTCTCCTCACAATTTTCTGGGTTTTAGTCTAAATACCGAATCGTCATCGAAAAACTTTACCTTTTTTTTGTTTACTAATTTCGCAGTATTCCAGAAAATTCGACGATCCATCTTTGACGTACCTCGCGGTGAATTATCTAGACAGGTTCTTATCCAGCGAAGATATGCCGGTAAATACAGAATCTTCCGACAGAATCTGTCGTTTGTTTCATCTGAGATTTGACTCTTTTTTATTAATTATTGTTTCTTCGGCAGCAATCAAAGCCTTGGATTCTCAAGCTTATATCTCTTTCTTGTGTCTCTTTGTCTGCCAAAATGAGAAAGCCAGATGTATTTGTCTGTGATCTTCCGGTAACTAAAACTAAGAGCTCAAAATGACTGAATCTTTACATTGTGAATGTCTTTTTATGTGTCTGAACATTGAATTTTCAGGTGGAAGGTGAGATATTTGATGCTCAGATGATAGAGAGAATGGAGAATGTGATTCTAGGAGCTCTTAAATGGCGAATGCGCTCTGTTACTCCCTTTTCCTTTTTCGCCTTTTTCATTAGTCTCTTTGAGCTCAAAGAAGATTCTTTAGCACTAAAACATTCCATCAAATCTCAAGCTACTGATCTCACTTTCAATCTTCAACATGGTAACAATTGATGTTTTCTTCAATCACACAATCACATTCCATGCTTTGAATTAAAATCGTTTTCATCATTGTGTGTGTGTGTCTAATCCTTATCTTTTAAATTATTGCAGATATCAAGTTCCTCGAGTTTAAACCATCCGTGATTGCAGGCGCTGCACTTCTCTTCGTTTCCTCTGAGCTTTGTCCTCTACAGTTTCCATGTTTCAGTAACAGAATCAACCAATGCACATACGTAAATAAGGTACAAGTTTCCAAAGAAGTATTAATGATCAGATCGAGCTTTTATTTTTGACGGGATTCTGATGATTTAACGTGGTAGCAGGATGAGTTAATGGAGTGTTACAAAGCAATAAAAGAGAGAGATATAGTTGAAGAAAACGAAGGAAGCACTGAAACAGCAGTAAATGTGCTTGATCAGCAATTCTCGAGCTGTGAAGAAAGCGATAAGAGCATCACAATCACAGCTTCTTCACCTAAGAGGAGGAAAACAAGTACTCGTCCATGTTAAGCTGAAAAGGTGGTTTATGGACAGACATAATCACCAACTGATGCAATCACTTAGCTACTTGAGAAACCACTTCTGGTCCGCTTTTGTCAGAGAGACCCTTTTTCTCCATCAATCTTCTACTTCAAAATAAGCTATTCTCTTCATGGAAAGACAAGAGAGTGATGATGAATGATCAAAGACGAAATCTCGGGTTCTGTTCTTCATTGTTTGGACCACTACACAAAACTCAAATCTAAAAAAAAAAAAAAAAAAACCAAAAATCAATCTGTGGTATTTATCTATCATGTCCTGTATTTACAATTTTAAGTTGTCTCACTTGAGGGGGAATAATCAATAAATAAGCTATGGTAATGTTGCTATAATATGAGCAATGTGGTGTGGTCACGAGAAAAAAATGAGTTACAATGGATTTAAATTTTACAGGAATAAGATTTTGTCTTACGAGACTTCGTTATCCGAGTTATATGGATCCAGTTGCCAGAATCTCTGTTGCAGGCAGGCAATATGATACTCTTTGGACCACTTTACAGTTTTGAATCATTCAATTGCTTTTGTTCTTACTGTAATCAATCAATCAATCCCTCTGTACTACTAACAACTAACCCACACTAAGCCCATTTGGTTCATAGTGGGTCAATACAAGAGCTGGTTAGGCCCATCAATAATTTTGTTTTTCACATCGGCCCTATAACACTGACCATCGGGTTTACCCGAACCAACAATGTACCGTTGAACCGAACTGAAAAACGCAGACAAACAATCAAGAAACAAGAGATTCAGAGTTCTCTTTGCAATATGTTTATATCTCAAACTGAGATGAAAAGAATGAATTACATGGTTTACAGTTTCAGACATTATTGAGAAGCTAGAAGCAAGAATCAAAGCTTCTATGGTGTAATTATTATTGCACAACAATCACAAAACACAAAGATGAAACACGACGAAAGGAACGAAATAGAGTGAACAAAGAAACCACCGTCAATCATTACCTCGCAGTGGAAACCGCATCAAACGAGAGAGATAGAGATCAGATAGGTCCAAGAGTTCCTTCGCTTCGACTTCTTCGCATTGAGAGCTCAGATCTCAGACTAGACAATCTATCACCCGTAGCAACATGATAATTCTCGTAAGCAGCTGGTGATACTTTGTGTCCCACGGGTGGAAGACGGCTGCTTCTCTCCTTAGATCTTTTCTGCAAACCCGAAGCTTTACGAGCTGTGGATGATCCGGGTTTGTGGGTACTGGATGCACCATGGCTACTCTTTCGGCTACTGTTTTTGAGCTCTGATCTGAGACCTCGGTCCAACTGATGTGTGCTTGTCCCCAGCCGAGCATCTTTAGTGCCTTGTCTGTTATAGTATACCAAATGTGGCAGGAGTCCCAAAAGGTACTTTCTTAGTTGTTCATCACCGACATTCTTCTGTGCAGGGTTACCTTCCAAGCTTATAGCCTGAAGAGAACTGTAATTTGCAGCGAGCAGGCCGAGACATTTGGTCGTTGAAAACTTATTGAAGCGTAAATCCAAGACCGTCAGTTTCAAGAGACGGTGAAGACCCTCGATTTCGCTGATTTTGTTCCCAGCTAGGTATAGTTCTTTCAGGGAGGAGCAAGAAGCCAAACCTAAGCCAACAACAAATATAACATGGTAAATACATCAAAAATGGTTTCCAGATACAAACAGATAACTCACAAATGTAGTTGAGCAAAGGTCCTACCATGACCAAGTCTCAGTATTCTGTTGTAACTCAAGTCTAATACTCGAAGCCGAGTGAGTTCACGTAAGCCTTCAATCACCGAGATACTGTTCTTTGACAAATACAGTGCATGTAGTCCTCGAGGAAGAGCACCAGCGGTTATCCTAACTGGAACATGTATTAAGACCAGTAAACATAGACGAAACAAAAAACAATCAGTGTGAGTAGCAAGTTAGCAAAAAGGGGCAAAATAGCCTACCTATTGCATTTCCTGAGAGATTAAGAACTTTGAGACCAACAAACGCACTGAGGAATGGTATCACAACCAGACCATGACTAACCAGCTGGGCTGTGGTTGCAGAAGCACTCAGAGAGGATATATACTTTTTCGCAGCTTCCATTCCAGGAGTTAATTTGATGACATCTACTTTAGCTGAAGCTGTTTTTGGCTCATTTAACACGACGGGTTCTCTTGACAACTCTTCGTCGTACCCTGTTATTTCATCAGCTTCCTCTGACAAGTTTACATGCTGAAGGTCATTGACCCAATCCTCGATACGCTTGAATTTAAAATCCTTTCCGGGAAATTCTGCTTGCTGGTTTGATGTTTCTCCTTCAAGGAACTTTGTTAGTTTGAGCTCATCTGTAGGTGGTACTATCCAATCTTTTGCCAGGGAAGAATAATCATAAGCATCATCATATCCGTCCTCATCGAGATTTTCCTTGTTGTTGCTGTTTCCAGATTTATGCGTATCATAGTCCCGATCTTGATCTTGCTCTTGCTCTTGCTCTTGCTTCACCTCAGCATCAGTCTCGTGGACAGAATTATCTGTTTGGCGCGTGTTGAGAACACGAAGGTCATCAGAAGATCTAGAGTGGTGAGAAGAATATTTGGAAGGTGAAGATTTTCCTGATGCAGAGTCAGCAATATTAGGCATTGAGTTCGACCTCACAATCAACGGTGAATCATAAGGTGTTTGGCTGTCTGAGTTGTCCAACTGTTCACCGGATAACGAGGTATCATCAAGCTGACGGCTGTCTTTATCAGCATGATGAAGATCTCCAACCGAGAAAATAGACCCATAGAGTGCTTGATCTGAACCCTGGTAAGCAGAAACTGAAGCTTGAGGAGCTCTCTGGTACAGATTAGGACTTCCTTCTACACGCTTGCTGCTCCCTGCCGCGAGAGTACCACTCTGTTCAAGAGAGTTTGGAGAAGTAATCCGATCTGTTCCATCGTCTGTTCCATTCTCTGTAACATCCCTCCCATCCAAGTATATTTCATCTCCATGAGACTGACTTTTTTTGAGATGCCGTACCTGATGCGTCTCAATATCATGCTCAAGAACGCCACTGGGTTTAATTTCCTCAGATTTCCAGACACGCTCAATAGCGTTAGAGCCAGCTGACTTGCTGTTTTCACCAATGGAAGAAAAGTTTTTCCCAAATATGAATGAGCTCAATCCTTTTGATTTAGACACGTCTTCTCTGATCACTCGTTCTGAAAATCCTTCCAGGGATTTCTGCATCACAGGGACACAGGAACAGATTAGTGTCCTCTTATGGGACAAAAGAATCGTGTTGACACAAAAGTTTCTACATTACAAGAGAAGAGTCAATGATGTTTCAACTTACCTTAGGTCTATTACGGTGGATGTTGGCGTTAAAGCAAGAAAACCTGACCATTGTGTCAAACTTAATAACATCGACTACATCACCAGCTAGACCAACAGAGCAAACTAAAAAAACTATACCACGAAACCCGTACTCTTAATTACAAGCACACCTAGAAACAATAAGATTAAGTTGCGTTTTTTGCAAAGACTGATAGTTGCTATAAGTTTTGGAGGTTCATGTTCGTTAACAAATGTTAGCCATAATCAAGGGTTAGACCCTCTGAAACACGACGTAGCCTCCAAATGATTGATGCTAGAGAAATCCTTGGAAGAGAAAGTGAAGTCACCACTTCAAGGCCACCCCACACCTGCGCAGAGGTGCGAGAAGCACACGACTTTGCAGAAGCGGCCAGAGTGAAGAACAAATTGTCTCGAGCTTAAGAAAGCCCAGTTCCTAAAATCCCAATAAGTTGCTCACCTAATGGAATAAGAGAGCGATTTTAACACTTGAGACACAAAAATCAAAAAAGGAAGCTTGCGATTAAGGTCACAAAAAATAAACCCAAAAGAAAAGAACAAAGTGTTATAGAGCAAGCAGAAAAAATCACAACGAGATCATCTTTTAATTCCTTCAAAATCGAATCCAACAAGAAGATGTAAACCGTTCGACGAAATCACAGGAAAAGAAGGGTGAAAACGCGTGATACAAAGATACCATCGAAGACGACACGTAAAATTCGCAAGAACAAAGCCGAAACACAGAATCGGAGATCAGTGGAATCGGAGGAGAGAGAGAGAAACAAAAAATAAAAAACGAGAGGAGGAGAGAGATTCTCACCAGAGAGCAGAGCCAGATTTGAAATTGAGAGGATTAAGGCGAAAAAGATACACAAAATCAGCTCCAGAAAAACAAAGTAATTATCTTCAAATGGAGAGACTTTGAGGCAAAGCCACGCTAACCCTAAAAGAAACCTTTTTTGGCCGAATCAAAATTGTACGACCACACACTTTTTTGCGACAGTAGTCAACGGCTCTGGATTTTTCTCATGTGACGAAAACTCCTCGTCACACATTATTTTGGGCCTAATTTACTTTGATAATGGGCCATTTATTATTTTAAATTGTAATAGGCCTTCTTCGTAAATAAACTCAATCCGGTCAATCTTTCTCCCTGCACCAAATTCAATAACCGGTAACGGTCTAGGAGCAAAGCAAAAAACAAAACTGCTATATATATTATTACAACAAGGGACAACAATACCTTTATACTTCTTTCATTGTATCACTTTGGTACCGTATTAGATGGTACCAAAATGTAGAAATCTCTAACATTTACCAATTACACGATGTACCTTTTTCACATCCTAAACCGGTTTCACCATTATCTACTAACCGAAAATTCCTAATCTTCTTTTGAACCTTAACTTAATCCATAGAAGAGCTAGATTCCGCTGTTTCGTCCCCACTGAAACTAGAAGGCAATTCCACACCAGACCTACACATATATAATGGATTTATTACGCCATTTTCTATCTCTGTTCAGGATGACAAATGCATTATAATAGTTACTAACCGGATTATTTGCCCTTTTCGTCCAAGAATCTCGCTGTTTGATGATTTTGGCGCATAAACTTGTTGAAGATAGCCATGTTTCAAACGTTTGGTAACCTATTTTAGAGAAAAAAGCAAGCGTGGAGGTTAAGAAAAACAACTTGTTAGAGCCTTTCAACTGTGTAACATACGTAAATTCTCGATATGCTTAAAACATCAAACTCACCGGTGGTTCATCGGTTGAATGCAATTTCTCTCTATGCATTTTCATATGATTCCTCTCTCCATAATACTTTCCCACCTTCGAAAGAAGATGACACAAAACACAACTCATATTTCCATAAAAGAGCAAGAAAGGAACCTGTAGAAATAAAGGTTTTAGACAAATCCTTACCATCCCAGAAGATAGACCTCTCTCCACTGAGTCAGGGGATCGGCTGCTACTCAGAGGCAACAGCTTTGAAGATTCAGTGAGATGCCCGCTCTTGCGTCCACCATTGAATATATTTTTGTCATAATCATGAGTTTGATTGGTTTCAATATCTCTTCCAGAAAGATTATGGAAATTGGGAATCAGATGGTTTCTTGAACCTTCAGGCCGACTTTTGGCGCTTATCCGACTCTTCTTAATGTTAGTTAGAGGAATTTCTCGGACCGAACCTTTGAATGTCTCTTTAAACGGTTTGTGGCCCGAGACTGGATTGGAGTAACCGAGAGAAGGGGGTTTCAGTCTTGGTTCCCGAATCCGCTGCTTATCTCTTAGACCAGGCTCCATTCCAACCATCATGTTGTCATCACCATCGTCATCATCCTCCGAATATGGATCTGGCGAATGCATCTTCGATTTACGAGTTAATTCATAGCTCTATAAAGACATTAATCAAGAAAAACAAAGATAGTTTAGCCAAGAAATGTGATGGCAGACTAAGATTCTAGTTTATGATCCCCATGGGCATGTCGATTAATAGAAGAAGAAAGTTTCTGAAATTTTCACTTACAGAACCAGGATTAATGCTCTTCTTAGTTCCAGTTAAATATGGAGGTTGAGATCGTCTTTGATTCCCAACATATATTGGCTCTGACAAAACAGTTGATAAAAAAGCAATCAAATCCGACTGGACATGGGTAAAGGCATTCACAATCTGACACACGAAGAAGATGGTTTTAGCTTTTCCAAACCACTTCCTCAATTCTCATGACATCATTAACCAGCAGACACATGATAAAACTTAAATATTTTCTCACGAACTCACCGTGAACTATAATATTAGTCTGAGGCTCAAATGCACCAGGAGGAAGAGGATCAAATTCAACTCCCAGAGGTGGACCATCCTCTCGGTATTGTCTTCCTAATTGTCTCTTTACGGCAGTGATAGCAACATTCTCAGTCTCTCCCTTCAGTTTCAAGTATCCCGAAGGCTTATTATACCCATAGCTTTTCATAACCAGAGGATGCTGGACAACGTCACTACGTGCAACATATCTAAGACTTTCAACATCACGGACGCCATCTTTGCTAGAGACAAGAATCTTATGTAATGATGAGCTACGTTCAGAAGATGTACTATCTTCACCACCAGCATTTCCCATGTAAGATCCTCCATAAAGCCTTTGACTTTCAACTTCCCTTGGCTTCGGGTTCGAATAATCCGTTTGCTTAGTGCTACCACATGAATCCTGTCGAAGCCCGCTTCCACGATCTTGAAGAACAACGCTTGACCGATCTTGGCTCCCGATGGTGTTCCCATCTTCTTTAACAGAACGTTTGTCCTTTAACCTTCTATGGCAGAACCAGCCTGAAACTTGCTTCTCGGTTAATTCTATTTCCTCTGCTAGCTGAGCCTTCATTTCTTCACTTGGATACTTGTGCTCTGTAAATAGAAAAAAAAAAAAATCACACCTATAAAGCATATACAGCTTGGCATATACAAGTAACAAAGCCACAATTACCATTGTAGAAATTCTCAAGAGCCATAATTTGGATAGGAGTCTTAAGTTTCCGTTTTTTGCTGTTTTCTGCAGAGGTTTTATCGCCATCTGCGGGCACCTCTCCTAATCAAAAACAGCACATAAAAAAGATTAGAAGATATAGCATGATTCATCCATTAATGGTGAAACATGGAAAGCCATTTCCTCCATCTAACTAAACATCTCTACTTCTCTTTCAATAGGCTAAAATCGAAAATCTGATTACGTTATTTTCTTAAATCTGCACAAGTTTCACACAATCAAAGCCAACGAAAACTTTCAAATTTCTTAGCTTGATTATTAGTACCATTGAACAAACCAAAAAGCTCCATATTCCCAATTCCGTGGATGGATTTCACTAATTAAGACTACGAAAATGGGAGTTGCATTGTGATTCGACATACAACACGAACTCGGGATCATTGAAAACTATTCTCTAACGTAAACTCGCAGGAAACAGGAAGAAACGCAGAATATCACAATGGAAATACAGAGATTGAAAGAGATTTAACCTGAGAGCATAGCCAGATTGAAATTCCCAGAGAATGAAGAAACAAAACCTAATCAGCCCCAAAAAACCAGATTTTTTTCTTCCTTTCAAAATTCTCTGATTTTCTTATGCCAGGAGAAGAAAACTTCCTCTTCGCACACAAATAAACTAAACCGGATGCCAGGAGAAGAAAACTCCTCTTCGCACAAAAACAAAATGAACCGGACCGGTAAGATTAAACCAGAACCTTTATACGTTCAAACCGGTTAAATCTAATTTGGGCCTCATTGTGGGAATTGGACACTGAACCGGACAGAACATCGAAAAGACTCGAACCGGCTAAACCTACACTTTGAGCCTGGGTATGGGCCGAATTGGAGAACGAAGAATAAGAAGAGAGAGAGGCGACGAATGGTTTTGGCAGCAGAACCGCCATGGCTACAGCTTCAAGGTTTCTGCGGAAATTACCGAGGTCTCTCACGCTTTCTCCGACCCATCTCCGTAGCAATGGCGCAAGGGTTTTAAGCTGTTTGTCTCAGAAAAATACCGTGCCGTTGGATTCATTCTGGCGAATCGGAGGATCTCGAATCCGCCATGTTTCTGATACTACCAGAAGCTTCTCTTCTCAAGGCCCTGCTTCTGTCGATTATAGGTAATTTACTCCTAATATCCTCCCTTTAATCACCTTTACCGTTTCGGACTGGTTATTTTCATGAAAATGTGAACAAACGGGAAGAAAAAAACAGTTCGGTTTTGCAGGAAGATGAGTTTCACAGATTAGCCAATTTCACTATAAATGATCTTCTTGAGAAAATTGAGGTATTCAAAGCTAAAGCCTTTTTTCTTTCTAGGGTTCTTCGTATTCCTTGTATAACTGATGATGGCTAGCTTTAGTTTGCATTTTATACTTTGTCCCTACTTACAATATCTCTATGGAACAACATGATTGATGTTCAGGATTATGGTGATAATGTCCAGATTGATGGTTTCGACATAGATTATGGGGTAAAGAAAAAACTCTTTAAGCAGTTACGAGCTTGTTCCTATTTTTCGAAATCTTATGTGTGCTTATAAGTCAGTCTTTTGCTGCTTCCAACAGAATGAAGTTCTCACCCTTAAGCTTGGATCTTTAGGCACCTATGTAATCAATAAGCAGACCCCAAATCGACAAATCTGGATGTCTTCCCCTGTGAGGTAAAGATTCTTGTTTTTCTTTGAAAGTTGCCAACTTTAGGGGTCTAAATCGAATTTCTTATATGTATCTTCTGGTTTTTGCCTCACTCTGTGCTTCTGCATCTCGCATTCACATTAATGTCATCTTAATTCTTCCTTTTTTTCTTTTCTGTTGTCATGTTGTTTGGCGCAGTGGCCCTTCTAGATTCGACTGGGACCGGGAAGCTAATGCATGGATTTATCGGCGAACAAAAGCAAAGTTGTATAAACTATTGGAAGAGGAGTTAGAGAAATTATGTGGTGAATCAATCCAACTCTCATAAAAAAAGAAGGCCGTAAACAATATTTGTAACTTGGAACTGCTATGCCCTTTAAAGATATATATCTGAGGAATAAAGCAAACAAGGCACAAGACATTTGTTTCATTGTTAAACCCGATTGGTGTTTGTGCTTTTACACTTTTTAGCAGTAATGTCTCATGGTGACATTGTTACACAATGTGCATCATTTCTTCACTGCTTAAAGCTCTCCTGCTGCTTTTACACGCTTTATATCAACAGTTTTTTAAAGTCAAGAATCCCGCGATTGTCTAAGTTAAAAACTCATTGAATTCGGTAATTCACAAAAATTCCGGGAAAAGTTGGTTAACAATGTATGCAGGGTCAGGTCAACCTCCACTCTTTTTTGTTTGTTTGTCAACATCCACTCTTTCAAAAGCACACGATAATGATTGACTTCTTCAACACATTTGTCCCCTTTTGGCTTTTCCCAATAATTCACGTTTAGGTACCCCTACGTCTCTGTCATTGTTAAAAAGTACTCACAAAATACGATGTCTTCATTCATAGTATGCGGATCCTTTTTTCTTTTAACTATATATAGATCTATCGCCAAAAATAGTTGGCACAAAGTTCGTGAATTGATCACTTGTGTATCTACATAAGCTAAGAGAGTGTAAAGTAGTTTGGTGTCTTTTGCTTCAGATGCTCAAGTGAGACTTGTGCAGCTTATTCTTGGGAAACACATGATTAGCTGCTTTCACATATTTACTTTTCGAGGTGGGTCTTTCGTTGACGCTGAGGCAAAATTTTGTTTTTTTTTTTTTCTTCGGGCGCGTTTTGAGTTTGTTAGAAGACAAAATGGATATACCTGATGAGTAAGACATGGTCATTACTGGTCAGAGAAATACTGGATCAAGCTCTACAAGAAACAGAGGATTTCTTGAAGTGCTTGAACGTTGAACTGCTATGTGTACAAGAAGATCCGAGTGATAGACCTGCAATTTCAAACGTTGTTTTCATGCTCAGAAGCAGCAGTGCAGCTACACTTCCAAATCCAAAACAACTGGCTTTTGTCCTTGGACGTTGCGCTTCATCAAGCAAAGCTTCTTCATCTAACAAGCCAAAAACTTGCTCCCAAAATGAGCTTACCATAACTCATGAAGATGGAAGATAATAACGGCTCTCAACATTCACTTGACCATTAGCTAGCTTTTCTGTTTTATTCTCAAAAACTTAAGATTTCAACAGAAACAAAAAAACTGTAATAGCTAACCAACCTGAGACCTGATACAGAAAGATTATGCAGAAACTTTCAATGGAATGAGATTTTGGCTTTGGAAGAAGCCATGGAAAATCCCATTAACTGTGATCTTATCATTTGTCTCCGGAGAGAGTCTCTACAGAGGAAACTAGATCTTAGAGTCATCTTGATCAAAGCCTTTGCATGTCTCAGCAGAAAGATTGCGAAGCTCATTTCGTTCTCGCACTCTAAAAATCCATGAATCTCCACAAATTCCAAGTTGTTCAGGAAAGATTCCACTTCATAGGTTTGAGATTCCCAGTACTGAATTTCTGAATTAGACATATCCCACAAGTCTTTATTCCATTGCTGTCAAAACATAAATAATTATCAATGATTTTTTAAACCAAGAATGACAAAGAAAAAGCCTTGTTTCTCTTAAGACTTACCCTTCTTTTACTTGTTTCATCATTAATGATTTTGAGAAGAAGTCTGTTAAGCATTGGACAGCTCTTGAACAGACATGACAGGGCTCGAACATTGTGTCTGTCGAAACGTGTTTGCAGTTCCAAGAATTTCATGTTGTGAAACGGTTGAAGATGATGCCTTACTAATCCATTCTTGCTAGACAAAATCTGTCACAACATTAATAAGACAGTGAAGCAAAGAGATGACTCCAGAAGAAGAAGAAGATGTTGAAGTATATATACCTCTACGGATTGGTTCCCAAGTTGTAGTTTATAGGAATGACAGAGACCTGACAAGAGAGTAAACAAGCTCTGTGTGATCTGGGAATTGATATCTTGATGAAGCAAAAGCATTCCAACGAAAGCTTTTCTCAAACAAACTAACTTGTCCAAGAAATGAACAGTTGTAGACTCTGCGTTTGAGTTCCAGAGGAAAGATTTGAGATTCGGTGTGTTAATCTTCACATAGCTTTCTTCTGAGAACGAATGGAAGCAACTCACAACCTTCAGTCTCTGAAGCTTATTTCCAGAAACCTCTAAGCAATCAAGCTGTAAAGAGTTCTTCAAAGTAAACTCTTGGAGAAGACGGCAATTAACCTTGAGTTCCTTGACTCCAAAGCAATTTTCTAGGGCTAGTTTCTCTAGAAGAGGAAAGTTTGGATCGGTGAAGAAATCTGGGAGATAAGGCTGGTTGTATAGAATCACAAGAGATAAAGAGAGTGAAGTAAGTTTTTGGAAACCTCCAAGGATTGATGATGAAGGAGGTAATCTAAAACCAGGGTAAGATGATTTAAGCTTCAAAGCTCTTAAACTTTGTGATGTTACAATCCAACGAGGGAAGTTAAAGTAGTCATTGGTAGTGACTTCAATGTCAAGTTCTTGAACCTGATGAGTAACAGCTAAACGGATCAATGAATTGAGACTTGTGAAGGTGATTGGAGCGCGAAAACGAAGTGATCTGAGATTGTTGGTATCACGGTGATGACGAAGAGAAAGCAGTTGGTAAATGGAGCTAGAAGAGAAAGATTTGCAGTCATTAATGGAGGTGAAATCGAGATCAGGCAATGAGAGAAAGAGAGATCTCCATCTTTTCGAGAGTGAGCTCGTTTTAGCTGCTGATTTTAGAGGGAGTAAGAGAAGAATCTGATGAAGAAGAGAATCAGGGAGGTTACTGATTCTGTCTACTTTGATAATCTCTTCTACACAAAACCAATTTGGTTCTTCTTCTTTCTTCTTCTTCCTCCTTTTCACAGATCTTGTCTCCATTGTTAAAAACAAAAGGAAAAATCCCTAATCAAGCTTTTGGCTTTTGTTTTCCTCTCTAGTTCGAGATAAGGGTTTGAAACATTCAACACAAACCCTAAAAAGTCATAACGATAAGTGCGTTGAGAGTTTGTTTCCACCAATTTCGCATCTTCTGTTAAAACCAAATTAAAATTCAACAAAAATCAATAGATAATTGATTATTTATACATAAACAGAATCATCAAAAGAGAGACACATGTTCTCTTGATCACAACTAAGTTAAACAGAAAGTTTTGACTTATAAACTACAAATGACGATGATGTTGGCACTCAAGAGGAGTAACAGGAAACCTAGTAGCATCAAAGCAATAATCATAAATCATATGATTAGCTCGAACCCAAATAAGCTGATGATTCTGATGAAGGTTTAACTCAGACACAGTTGGCTCATCCCACCAGAATCTCTGGTCTCCACTACACTTGCTTAGATCACTAGTTGTTGGAACCTCACAAGCATCAATCTGAAAACCTTTGTAAGAAGCAACGAAAGGAGCGTGGCTCCAATCGGTTTTCACAAGACCTCCTTGAGTAGCCCAATCATCTGCGTTCCAAATCGAACTGTAAACTCCCATTGCTTGATCTTTAGCAAATGGGATACCTTTATCTTCAAGATTCTTGTGGACTCGGATTGGTGTCTCGTCTACCATGAATCTGTAAATTAACAGTAAAAAAAAACCCATTAAGAAATGAGTCCTGTAAATCTAACAAGTGAGCAAAAGTGAGAGACTTTGTTTGTTTAAGCAAACTTACACAACACTGCGTTTACTCCAGAGGATTGAGTAAGTGTGAAACTCAGTTGTGGGATCGAACCAAAGATTGAGTCTTTGTTCTCTGTTTCCAACTCCGTTCACATAGACATTCGTCTGGACTACGTAAGGCTCACCGGTTTTGTTACCTAAGAACTCGTAATCGAACTCGTTGTGGTTGGAACCTTCTGAAGACATCTGTAAGAGAAAACAACTTAAGATTTTCAGACACAATAATCAACAACTGGGTCGAAAAACAGAACAAAAGAGGATTTTTTTTTCTAGTTACATACGTAGAAAGCAGTGACGGTTCCTGCTGAGTCACCCTCGACGAGCTTAATCTGGATAGAGACTTTACCAAACAAATATTTGCTTCTCGATTCAAACCCAGCGCCTGAAAGAATCAATCAAAACATCAGCATTCATAAACACCAGAAGAAACAGAGCAAACAAAACATAGAGAGAGCGAGAGAGAAAGGTTTGTTCATAAGAATGTACCAGAGAAATTGTCAAGCTTGAGTCTTGTGACTTCTCCGTCGTTGACACAATGATCCATAGCCCAGCTTGAGCGGTAAAGTTCCTCAAACTTAGCAGGAACAGCTGCACCACAAGAGATCACACACACAATCATCATCATACACATGAACCAACCCATACCCACCATTTTTTTTCTCTTTCTCTCTCAATTTCTCTCTTAATCAAACCTCACTAGTACAGTCTCACACACTTAGGACTCAGTGGAGGACACAGATGAGAGAGGAGTGGGTTTATAAAGGCAGGGGAGTGTCAAGTGTGAGCTGGCGTACAATGGAGAGAGATGCCACGTTGGATTCGACGTGTGATTCAGGACATTTATAAGTGGACAAAAATACCCATATCTTCGTAAAGATGAACACTCAAAACAAGAGAGAGAGAGAGTTGGGAAATGTAGCCGTTGCTGTGAGGGCATCACTCAGTGGGGCTCCACTATGTACTACACGAAGGACAAGAATTTATGCTTCTCTGTCTAAAAAAACTTCTCTGTGAGTAGAAAAACAGAGACTTTATTGCTTTTAGAGAGAGAGATAGAGATAAGTGAATATAATTGATTCTTGGTGTAATAATTGAGATAAAAAAAAAAAAGAGAGAGAGAGAGGACCATTTTACAGCTAAGATGTTTTCATTGCTTTGGATTGGATCCAGCTGTACATTTGGCTCTTTTGGAGTAGGAAGCTCAAATTTTAAAATCTTTTTACTGCATAAAAGAAAGAAATTGATTGGTGTACAGTCTTTTTCTACCCCTCTCTCTCTCCTCACTTTTTGGGGGAATTCAATTTTTTGTTTGTGTGTTGCAGACATGGATTAGATATGCCAGATGTGACGTCATTTTGTGAATAGAAAATATCTTGGCTCTGCTTTGGTAATTTAAAACGAAAATTGTCAAGTTGTGTTGTATTGAAATACGCCATTTATATGTATGTGTGTATATCCGGGGACGAAGTTGTTTCTTTGTCGCCACTAGAGACAGAAGAGAAAACGACGGCGTTTTTGTGCTCCATGTTGGAGATTTGAATGAAAATCACGGGCGTTTCTTGAATCAAGACAAAATGAGAGAGTGACTTATGTTAGCAAGCCCGAAGTGTTTAGACACAAAACCGTTTGGTCGAAATTTGAAACAATATCTTGAACAGTAAAATCATCAGATTCAATGTTAACCTCACCAAATTTACTTTACTTAATTACACGCGCGTGCGCGCACCGAGAAGGCTTGTTTCTTTGAGCCAACGGCTCCTAATCTGAGAGAGTAAATCTTTTTACTGTGTCAGTAAGATTTTAATACTACTTTTTTTCATCATCATGCACAAATCTTTTTACACACACTCCATCATCACCATCATGACTTTCCTCTGTCAGTAACTCATGATGAGATGACGCAAGAAATTAAGGCCACTTCATTACTGATTCTCTTTCCCACTCTTGATAAGTCTATTTATTACTTTTTTAAGGCTTTAAACTCAAAAAATTAACAGCCCAATTAGACTAACCACAATTAGTTATAACTAAATCCACTCTTTTGGATTGATACAAGCATCTAATAGCTTCCATTCCTAAGTTCCTTCTTCTGGTTTCTGCATCCACAACAACACAAGAGAAAAATTCATTAGTAATCAAGCTAAAATGAATCAAGATGGTAAATATGATAGAAAGAACTTTACATGGTCATATTCCCATCTTGCAGATAGCGGAAGAGAGACAAGAATATTCTCTATTCGCCCTCCTGTCTTCAGAATCTGGGGACAGTCTGATGAAACATTCGCCTATAGTCCCCAAAATTTTTTTTAGGTTATATGCAAATTTTTTGACCCCAAATTACAAAAAAAAAATTTTGTTCTTGAATTGTCTATAACCCCCAAATTTTCAGATCCGGTCCTGCTTCAAGCCAAATGTTGTCCCACGGTCATACACCTTTTGTTTGTCCATCAGTAACAAATGCATGAGACAAGGGGTTTCATAAGATATATAAACAGAACAAAGAAAGAAAAAAACTGGTACGTGTGTCTGATATTACCAAGTTGAATTCAACGTATCGCCCCCTTCGTAACTGTTGCCATGCCTTGTGCTGCTCCGTAAATGGCGTGTCTTTACGTTTCTCTACTATGAGTATATAAGCTGGTATCACTGAGCTTGCACATTCTGCAAAAATCACCATCTAGGAACTTCTGAGAAACAAAATTTCATAAGCTTTCTTGGTCACTACCAGTGGCAAATGACAGAAGCATCTCCTGATCATAGTAATTCAAATCATCAAAAAAAATCCCTCCAAGCCCTCGCCTCTCATCACCGTGCTGCAGGCAAGACCTTTAGGTTTTAGTGTTTTCGAACCATCCGCAACAACTCATCTCTGCATCAACCTAACCAAACCTCAGAGTCTCTAAAATCTATCCCTACACTGAACATACTCTAAAGCTAAGGTCTTTCGTTCCAGAAAATGCTAAAAATCCACAAAACAATCTGAGATGCAATGACCATAACTGCACACCTTGATGTAAAAGTAGTCGTCACAACATTTCTTGAACCGAGGGTAGAAGGACGGATCAAATTTGTCACAGGCTTGCTTTTGAATCTAGAGAAGAGAAAGATGTTTTTCATGAGTACGTCGATAAACACAAAGCTCTAAACTTTCAGAACGAGAGGATAAGGTTTAAAGACCGAATCGAAGTGCTTGACATCCTCTTCAAAGATGTAAGCAGGTGTTAAATCAGTGCCATTACCGAACCACCATTGTCTCGGAGCTCCAGGAACATCTACGCGTGAAAATTGTACAAATCATTTGCATCAAAAAAATGAGAACTTTACAATCCCAAAGAGAATTTAGCTATTACCCTTTGGAGCATCGGTCTCGAAATAGCGGATATTGAAATGCAGAGTCGGAGCAACAGGGTTTTTAGGATGCAAGACCTGGAATTGCACATGAATGTGCGATCAAGCTCAATCGAAGAGCAATTTAACGACAATGAAGACGAATGTCCTGAGCAGCTCTTATCATTGTCTCGAAACGAGCCCTAATCGAAGAAGAAGAAGATTTGGGAATCATCACCATCGGAGTCTCTTAGAAAGTGAAAGGTCTTTCGGTTTCGGGAACTTCTTTCTCGATAGAGAAAGAACATCGTAAACCCAAACCTGATCTCTTTCCGGGACAAGGAAAGTGGAGGGTAAAGAAATTCGTAGAGAGATGGGGACGATGAGAGGAGCAGAGATTGAATGAAGAAGGAGAAGAGGTGAGAGTCAAAGAGTGAGACGCCATTTTCGGCGATCGAATCCACGTTCTCGCTGCTGCTGAAGAAGATAGAGAATCAGAGATGATAAGGAACCAAAACAAACCTCAAACAAAGTTCAGTTTAGTTCTCTCCACAAGGCCCTTAGCAAAAGACGCCTCCGTTCTTTATTTATCAACTGACAGAACAAAAACGTAGATCTTGTTCCTTACAACACAAGCAACCATTAAAACATAAAAATCTTTTTTTTTTTACTTGGAGAGTAAGCGAGTGAGGGAGGACGAGTCGAAGACAGGAGGACTACAAGTGAAGTGTTGACAAACAAGAGCCACCACTTTCTCAGAGTTTCTGTTTCTCTTCGCCATCTCGGCTACATTACTGTTATGCTCTTCCCAAAACTCCATTTCATCAGAACTTGAAGGATCTATGTGAATCACCTGCGCCCAGTAAAACCCCCTCAAAAAATCACAAACTTGTTGCTCGTTGCTCTGAAAACTCGGATTCAGTAAAGCTCCTTACCGTTTTATTAGGATCATAGACCGAATGTGCTGCAGAAAGCATGGTGTTAAGCTCTGCAGAAGACTTGGAACCAACCAGAACGACTTGTTTCCTCGATGGAACAGAGATCATATCCGCAGCGCAGCACATTAACGGTACTGCCACCGCCATTTCTCTCAACCTTAACTCAAATACAGCCTGAAAAAACAACAAAGAGACACAATAATCTTTAACTAGAGAGACTCAACAAGAAACGATGAATAGCAGATTGAATTAGTTTGTTTGTTTACCAGGAGACGCTGTGCGGTGTTTAGGTAGGAGTTAGCTTTTTCTCCCGCGACTATGGAAGCTAATCTCACAAGGTTAATAGCAGAGACAGAGTTCCCTGAAGGCTCTGCACCATCGTGATCTTCTTTCACACGGAGAAGAACAGATGGGTCCTGTCCTTGAGTATTGAAGTAGGCTCCTCCTTCTCGGTCGAGGTATAACTCATCCTAAAATGTCCTTATTAGTCAAAATCATAAGGTCAAAGAACTTGAGTTAGTAAATATCCACACTTGCCTGCATATCTTGAAGTTCAATCGCCCATTTAAGGCAGTCAATCCCACCTCCATTCTCGTAGAGATCAAGCAAACCAGTGATTAAGAATGCATAATCGTCTAAAAAGGCAGGAGCTTTTGATGGTCCCTTTCTGTAACTGTGTTGTAACCTGTGTGATTGCTCATCATAGAGATTCCCTCTTATGAACGAAGCTGCTTTCTCTGCAACTTCTAAGTAATCCTCTGGCTGTAAATGACAACTCGAATAAGAAAAACCAACGTTCAAACGAGAAATCGAGGGAAGAAAGAAGAACATTCGTTACCTGACTATTCACGACAGGGAAAGAGTATTTGGTGCTTTCAGGCTCAGCCTTAAGAATCTTGGAAGCTCTTGCGAAAGAGGAGATAACAAGACCGTTCCACGACACGATTATCTAAGAAAAGAAATCTTAAACACTTAATAAAGCTGATAATAAAACAGTAGAAGAAGACAATAAAAGAGTTCAAATACATAGATTCTTACCTTATCATCTAAATGCGGCTTAGGTCGCTTCAATCTGACATTGAAAAGCTTTCTTCGGCATTCACCTAAAATCTCCTGATATTTCTCAATGGAGAGGCTAAACTTTGATGCCATGGCAGAGAGCTCATTTCTTTCAATCAGCACGTTCTTCCCAGCGAACTCATTGTGCGGGTCACTCCTGCTCGAAAGATCACAGTTACCTGATTTCTTAACATAATAATGCTCCTTGAAAAGATCTGCATTCTCCACGAGGACTTCATCAATCTAGAAACCAAACACAAAAAATAAAGAAAGAAATGTCAGTATACAGAGAGGCCAACACAATTCAAATGATGAATATATTCAGAGAGAAGAACCTCATCGCTAGTCCATATATAGAAAGCTCCTTCTTTCTTTCTCTTTGCCCCCTCGAATTCAAAGCTATCAGCATCTTCAGCCGAGAATATTCCACCTTCGGGTGCAATCATGTCTCTTCTAAGATAATCAAGAATGTCTCTTGCCACATAAGAATACATAACATCCTTGGTAATGATGAATCCATCAAGGTAGACATTAGCTAGTTGCCCTTGATCATATAGCATTTTCTCAAAATGTGGAACTGCACCAGAAAAATGGCAAAATGCATCAAGTTCAAATATTTTTTTCATCTGTTGGATACTATTTGAAGACTCACCATGCCAACATTCATCGACGCTGTACCTATGGAACCCGCCTCCAATATGATCATGCATCCCTCCATTTGCCATTCCTTGCAAGCTGAATAAAACCATACTCTGGACTTCATCAGCCTCACTCGTTTCCTCAGATTCCTTCAACTTTTTGGAGTGATAAAGCATCAGCTGGATCTCCACAGGCCTTGGGAACTTTGGCGCAGATCCAAACCCACCGAATTCTGAATCATAGCTCCGAGAAAGCTTGAACACAAACACTCAAATGTTAAAAGGCTTCTTGTTTTATTCACCATGCCAACACAAACACGATGAATGATCACATTAAAAGGCTTCTTTTTTTTAGAGTACAGTAGAGTCGAATCATACTTGTTTTGCACATATACTCGCAGCCGCCTGAGATAGCCCGTCTGTCAATTTATCAGTGACAGCTTTAGCAGATAAAGCTTTTGACAGTTCTTCAATAGCATATGTACCACTCTTCACAAGAGTATCCCTCTTACTGTCCCACGCATCTTTCACTTTCCTGAAAATAACCCAAAGAAAACATGGAGAATATAGTTGAACCATTATATATAGTTGAATGAACTTTCCTTACTTGAGGAGAGTCTTGAATCCTGGTCTTCCATAGTTGTCATTTGGAGGAAAGTATGTTCCACCCATCAATGGCTTTAGATCAGGAGAAAGGAAGACCGACAATGGCCACCCTCCTCCACCGTACAGAGCCTGGACGAACGACATATAAACCTACAAGTGCCAGCCAAAAGAATTGTTAAGTCGAGACTTGATTTTTCCATATTATAAGAAACTGATAAGCTAGAACTTATTCCATACAACCCTCTCATGGATTTGCGTCTCTCACTGGAATGAGATGGAAAAGATATCGAATTTCCAGGGCATCTATTCAAGACAGCTAATGGATGAAAACATTCTTTTGGCATGCAGATAGTAATTTACCTTATCGACATCAGGCCGCTCTTCTCGATCCACCTGTTGCACAGACATGTTATACAAGAAGTTGGCAAAGTCGTTTCAGGAGAAACCAGCTCAAAGATGGTGCTTCAAAACCTCATTATATAATCCACAGCCAGAAGAAATTCATTCCCCTTAAACTCTAACCTTGATACTAACGAACGAATCGTTCAAGAGTTTTGCCACTTCTTCATCTTCAAACGACTCAACTTCCATCACATGGCACCTGACAAAAGAGTGTAACTGGTATTGAAACATACATTCCAAAGAGTAACGAATATAATTCTTGCTCGGCTTCTCTACACAAGGCATCCCAAATAATTCTTAGATTACAATTCTTCTCCACTTTCCTTTCACAAAATCCTCAAATCCTTCATTAGGCTTACGTCTAAAGGTAAAGAACAGTGATTATACTAACAAAACTAGAGTCATTTTAATATTTCATTCGTTCTCCTACTTCTTAAATTCAGTAAAAGAAGAACTCAGACTCAAAATCCAAAAAGAACGAATGCTGTTGATTACTCACCAGTGACAAGTACTGTATCCAACTTCAAGATTCCATATGCAAGGGATTTTGAAAACAAGAGAGAACAATTAGTGTCATAAATTAGGTAATCAAATCCAGCAGAAGTTAAAACGATCTAGAGGGCATAAAAGAAAACAACTTGATAAGAAGATGGGCACGTCTCTCTTCCTTGCTACTTCAAAAGCTTCTTCTCCCCATGGATACCAATCAACCTTTTTCACATGAACCATGAAATCATTTTCGAATTCAAATAAACGATCAAGCCAGAGACACAAAAGAAAAGTTCGATGCTTTCGAGTCAGGAACCAGTTAATGAAGCTATATCTACAATCTAAACCAGTTACGGCTTAATTATTTGCAACGAAACTCCCAAATTGAATTTTGAGACACCTTAATTGAAAAAAAAAATGAGTTATTTTTATCTATAGACCTTGTATGGATATTAGAAAGATTAGAATTTCGAAAGATTAATACTTTCAAAGAAGAAGCGAGATCACGAGGAAATATTAGCTACCGGATTATGCGCGTGTTGAAGCAGATAAGGACTGTGTTCAGCGGCTAAACGGTTAGTATGTTTCTGAGTAGTGGACAAGGTTGAAGACGAGGTCTCTTCCGCCATGGCCAAGACCTTGCCTGAGGAAATGGGTCTCGAGATAATCGGCGAGAAAGGAAAAGAAAACGAAGGATAATTTGTACGGACGCGGATTCTTCTTGTGGGTAAAGAAGACAGGGACGCGATGCTGCGAGAAGCAAAGCGGTGGAGGATTGAGGAAGACAACAACAAGTGAAGACCTTTCATCAGCAGCACTTAATCAACAAAACGACGCCGTTCTAAGGTTTGGCCAGTGAGATTGTGTTAAACGATGTCAGCTTCTAGAGACTCGCCATGCGAGCGGGAGAGCTTCAGACACATCTTGTTGGATATGTTCCATATGTGACACGTGTAAATAAGACAAGAACATAGATATTTGGCTTTGTATCTGATCGGTGTCCAAGGGTGTTTTAGTCAAATTTGTCATTTCTGCTTCTTTCTTTTTTTTTTTTTTGCAACTTCTGCAATATCTTCACTTATCAAGAATTCGATTTAATTACTGACATCATTTCAAGTCACTGATAAAAACCATTTAACTTTAACTAAACCTAGTAAGAATTACTAATTAACCGATCTGAAATCATGTGTGAACTGGGTATTCCATAAATGATTAGATCCAGGAAGCATATTGCATAGACAACATGTGATGATTGGTTGATCTAATTATGATTAAGGCAACTAACTAAATTAGTGAGCTATACACAAGCTACATAGCCGGGGGACTCACATGGGTGCAAGCTCAACTTTATTAATGGTCTCACATGGACATTGTCTCCTCTGTTTTCTTGTCAGTTGTCACACTCGTGTCTCTCCACTTTCACAGTTTATATATATCAAAAGATCCATTCTTTCGATTTAGATCACCCATTTCTGAATCAAATCTCAAACCTTTTTTTTTTTGTTCATCTCTCTCTCTGTTCTGATGGGTCTCCGATTACCATCAAAGGTTCTTGAGCATATCCTCTCCTTCGTCGATTCCAACGAGGATCGGAACTCAGTTTCTCTGGTCTGCAAGTCATGGTTCGAGACTGAGCGGCGAACTAGGAAACGTGTCTTTGTCGGCAACTGTTACGCGGTCAATCCTGCGGCGGTTGCACGGCGGTTCCCGGAGATGAGATCTCTGACTCTGAAGGGTAAGCCTCACTTCGCCGACTACAATTTGGTTCCTGACGGTTGGGGAGGCTATGCTTGGCCGTGGATTGAGGCTATGGCGGCGAAAAGCCCGTCGCTTGAGGAGATTAGGTTGAAGAGAATGGTGGTGACTGATGAGTGCTTGGAGAAGATTGCTGCTTCGTTTAAGGATTTTAAAGTCCTTGTGTTGACTTCTTGTGAAGGTTTCTCCACTGATGGTCTCGCAGCCATTGCAGCAACTTGCAGGTTCGATTCCAAACAAACAAAAATAAAGACTTTCTTTTTAGGTAATTAAATCTCGGTCATAGTAGTAACTTAAGTTTTTTTGTTTGATCTGATTTCAATTCAGAAACCTGAGAGAGCTGGAATTGCGAGAATGCATAGTTGAAGATCTAGGAGGAGACTGGCTTAGCTACTTCCCAGAAACGTTGACCTCTCTTGTCTCTCTTGACTTCTCTTGTTTAGACTCGGAGGTTAAACTCTCCGACTTGGAGCGTCTCGTGAGCAGGTGTCCAAACCTCAAGTCTCTCAAGCTGAATCGAGCCGTGACTCTAGACGGACTCGAGAGCTTACTTCGTCGAGCTCCACAGCTGGTTGAGCTTGGCACAGGTTCTTTCTCCGATGAACTGACTCCAGAAGCGCTTTCAAAGTTGAGAAAAGCTTTTGCAGAGTTGAAGCAACTTAAGTGCTTATCTGGTCTTTGGGATGTCCTCCCTGAGTATATTCCGCTTCTTTACTCTGTTTGTCCTGGTCTTACCTCGTTAAACTTGAGCTATGCTACTGTTCAAATGCCTGATCTTGTCGATCTTCTGAGTCGATGCTCGAAATTGCAGAAGCTATGGGTGAGTAATCTGCATTTGATTCTTAAAACGTTTCAGCACTCATTATGTTGGTTTCTTAATATATGAGACATTTTTTCTCACAGGTAATGGACTTGATAGAGGACAAAGGTCTCAAAGCTGTTGCCTCGTCTTGTAAGGAACTGCGAGAACTAAGGGTGTTTCCATCTGGAGCAGATCTCGATGAAACAAATGTAGCTCTGACGGAGCAAGGTCTGGTCTCTGTGTCGGAAGGCTGTCCAAAGCTTGAATCTGTTCTCTACTTTTGTGTCCAGTTTACAAACGCGGCTTTGGTTACCATCGCAAGAAACCGTCCAAATATCAAATGCTTCCGCCTCTGTGTGATGGAGCCATTTGCTCCTGATTACAGAACACATAAGCCACTCGATGAAGGTTTCAAAGCCATAGTAAAGGGATGCAAGGATCTTCAACGTCTCTCTGTCTCTGGTCTACTCACTGACAAGGCCTTTGAATACATTGGAATATATGCCAAGAAGCTTGGGATGCTATCAATAGCTTTTGCTGGGGACAGTGATTTGATGCTTCATCACTTGTTGTCAGGCTGTGAGAGTTTAAGGAAGCTTGAGATAAGAGATTGCCCTTTTGGAGACGCTGCGCTACTGGAGAACGCTGCGAAACTAGAAACCATGCGATCCCTTTGGATGTCGTCTTGCTTTGTAAGTTTCGATGCTTGCAAGCTCCTGAGTCAGAAAATGCCAAGGCTCAATGTCGAAGTCATTGATGAACATCCTCCAGAGACAAGGCCTGAGAGCTCTCCAGTTGAGAGGATATACATATATCGAACACTCGCAGGACCGAGGTTGGATATGCCTGAATTTGTGTGGACAATACACAAGAATCCCGAAATCGGAGTTTCACATCTAGCCATAAAGTAAACTTTGCTGCTTTAGTCGTTTTTCTGTTTTGTATTGAATTTTTGCAGGCATTGTTGTGGGAGATTCACCTTCCATATGTTGTATTTTTCATATTGTCTTCACTAAGATGTTAGAATCATCATCATCGATAGAAGCATTTCATAGCTTGTACTCTGTTAAGCAAAAACTTTGTCTTTGTACTAAAGTTTGGAATAAAAACTCACTTTATGAGATTTATATTCATCAGTTTTTTAAGGAAACAGCCAAAATCATGAGCTAAACAGTACCCAAACACAATGTGCTGATACTTGCAAAGCCTAGCCAAAAACTACAAATGTTACCTTAAACCAGCACAAGAAGCAAAATACAATATCTTTGGCAAAAACTAGATCAGTATATGAGTTGAAAGCAAGTTTTTCTTGATCTGCACTGTATCTACGTGAGCTGGTCATGCGGTTCTGCTTCCATCGATTCCAGCAGATTTCTTGATCGATTCAAGAAGATGCTCAATTCTATATTTCATTACAGGCTGGCCATGTCGAGTCTTTCTCATCATTTTCCCTTTGGCTACTTTTCTACGGGCTTCAGCCTCTTCTTTGGCTTCTTTCTTCGCCTGAATCGCTGCCTCTCTCTCTTTCCTTGCTTTCTCCATCTCTTCTCGTGTCTGCTTGTACACCTCCTCTAAACCGATTCTCTTGTGAAATTTACCTTTCTGCTTATCATCATCATCATCTACCTTACTACTCTCTCCAGCCTCATCATTTCCATGTAAGTTCTGCTGCTTCACCGACTTCCTAAACTTGCTCACATACTTTGCATTCTTGTAGAACTCTCTCTGCTTTTCTGAAAACAGGAAAACAAGTTTAGGGATAAATGAGAGATCATTCGCTTACTTCAAGCTTTCTCATAAGGATCCCAACAAAATCAAACATTTAAGCAACTCCAAAAAGTTCTCTTCTGGTGCCCCAACACCAAAAGAAACAGAGTCAAAGACTAATTGGAATCTTCTACTTTCTTCTAATCATCGTACATCAATCTAGTTATATAGTCTTATCAAAGTTCCGAGCAGAGAACCACATTGTAGCAATCCTATTATCATCCTAAAACTAAAATCATAAAAAGGTAATCTTTTTAAAATTGGATAGGAGAGAAGAATCTCTTACTGATCAAAGCAGGGTTATAGCGACTGTTTTTCGATTTCAAGTTTGCAAAAGTTTCGAGAGAAAGGCCACCGCCTCCCAATCTCTTCATGTTCTTCCTCCTCTTCGTCTCCATCGATTTGGAGCTGTTACTCGTATCATTCTCCTGTTGATCTCTTTGATAAAAGTTCTTCATCGTCGCGTGATTTATTCAAGCTCCAAACTCCAGAATCCGATTCTTTTTTGGTTTTCCAGGGATTTGAACAATAGATCGAGTTACCAGAAAGGGGAAGAAATAACGAAACCCTAATTGTAATCGGCGACTCTGAAGTCTGAAGACTCTGAACTAGGGGAACTGCGAATCGCTGACCTTATAAAAATTGCAACAAAACCCTTATAGTTTTTCTTGTTTTCAAATAGCCTCCATAGAAACTTATAATTGTGAAAACCACCACATTTATATGTATCTGACTGCTTTTAGTCCTAGTTTATCATGGACACTGAATATCCCATCCGTAATGCTTAGTACTACCTGAGGATATTAATCTGTCTAATTAGGGTTGAGCTAAGACACATTAATATCCTCAGGAGCAGGATTGAAATAACATATTGTGATTGCTATAATTTCTCATATAAAATTTGACGACTCTATGCATATTATTAGGATATATAACCAGCTACAGGTTGTACCCAATTACAGTGCTCATTTCCATGAAAAGGAAGTTTTTGCTATTCATTATGTCAGCATATATTAAGTCCATTGAGCTTCTGTTGCAATACTATGAATTAGATGAAAAGAGTTCTGTTAATGGTTCATACTCTATGATAGAACTGTAAGGCCCATCCGTTTAGGTCAGCTCTTGCATTCTGAGATTGACAATGATTTAGGAGAATGATGCTGTCTCATCCGGAAGTTGAATGCATCTAGTAGATGGATAGTGTGATGTTTTGTTCACTGGCATAGTGTTTATGGAAAATCAATACTATTTACACTGGTTTTGGGATAATTTGGTTGATAGATATGAGGAGATGGTGGACAAGTATCACCCAGGATTAGGTGATGAGAGATGGCTTTGTGACCCATTTCGTTGAGTGCAAACCATGTGGTAGCTACGCTGATTATGCAGTGGAGTGGTGCTTGAAGAGCATGGAGAGGGTTTTGTAATTTTGCAAACAATCAAGTGCTCAAGCTGTATGGTTTGAGCCATAGGGGATTGTTGAGCCCCAAGATTAAGAGGATCAGAAATGAGACAGTCACTCCTTTAGAGTTTGTTGAAAAGTTTGATATAATTCACACTTGGAACTTGTTGTTGACAACTACAAACTCTGAAAGAGAAGTTTAAGAAATCCATCATGAATAAATGACTGTACATTACGAGTTTGGTGTAACCAATGATCTGTACAAGACAGATCATTTCACATACTATTCTAGCTACTGATGGCTCACCAGGCTTAATCCTACATGCATTTACAAAATGGGAATGAAAAAACTGACGCACTGAATGACCAGGAAGAGACAGAGGAATGATACTTTCTTCATGTGGATTACCAACTTTCTGGTTGTTAGACGTACCCTGCTATTCCAGTTTTTGCTTCATCTGCAGCATCGGTCTGAAGAGTTTCAAGAACACTGGAACAAAGTATTGACTCCTGAAACCAAAGTATTGACTTTTAAGTCATTAAGTGATTTTCTAAAGGACCCAACTTTTGCAAACTGTAGACACAAGTCAGATATGTCTCAATTGTTTCTAATCATTGAAGTTAGACAAAAGGAGAAGAACAGCATCACCAGGAACTCAGAGGCTGCAAATAACTTAAGAATTTCAAGATTCAGCCGGCAATCAAGTAAGCTCCTGGTGAAACATGTCGATGTTTAGTCCCATATTGAAACAACATGTGAATTGTTAAAAAAAAGGCTCAGGGAATCGATTAGATTTTACCTGTGCGCTTGATCTCCTAGCCCGTAGTATTTAGCAAGAGATGCCATCTACGTACATTTGTTAAAAGAAGAAACTTTGTGAATCACTGAAGTTACATGGAAGCTACAGGCTTGAGAAAAGAGAGAGAGACCTTCATGTCGCCAGCTCTGTTCCCAAATTTCTTAGACATCAATAAAAGCGTATCGATAATATCTTTCGGCTCCGGAGGAGACTGACCAATCTCTGCAAATGCCTCTCTAATTCTTGCACAATCGAATCGCTTTATGTTATGTCCAGCCCAAACTCGTCCTACACAAACACCAAAATCAATGCTGCTTCATGAGAGAGAGAAAGAGAAAGAGAAAAACTCATTACCGTTGAGAATGTCGTAGACTTTGCCGGAGATTTCAGCGAATGTGGGTGCAGACAAGACGTCGTCGCGCGTGATGCCGCTACGCTGCTTAGAGATCGTGGTGATGAGAGAAAGATCGGTGGGTCGAACCAATGTGGAGTAACTATGGAGCTCGACTAGCGTCTTAGGACAAACCAAGATAGAACCAAACTCCAGAATCGCGGAAGGCTGGCCAGCTTTGGTCGGAACCGTTGTCTCGACGTCGAAGAATGCTATCTCCCTTCTCTCATCGCCGGCCAAAGTGGAACGCCATCGTCGAGTGAAAGATAATGCGTTGGTTTTAAACCGAGTGAATAAACTGGTCCTAATCATTATGAGAGCATCCACCATGGTGAACCTCTCTTGGGGTTCATCAACCATTTTTTAACATTTTTTTAGTTGAACTTCACTTAGAACCCATCCTCTTTTTCCTCTCCAATGGTGATCCCATCTTGGGATTCATAAAATTAAAATATTAATATATTTTTGTACATTTTTTTGAGAAAAATTAGAAATTGTTAATTTTTTTTAACATAAAAATAATAAATTTTTATGTAAACCAATATTAAATTGCATTACATGAATATTAAAAAATAACAACATAACTTTTGAAATAAAAACATACAATTATCAGTTATAATTTTCAAAACCGCCAAATTTTTGCCAAATGCGCTCAAGTAAATCAGCTTGTAGTCGGTCGTGTACTTTAGGATCCCGAACTTTTTTCCGATTGCCGATCAAATTGTTGATATTTGTAGGCATATCTATAGAATATGTCATATCCACTTCTGAACTTCTGCTTCCCTCTACTTGCTGGAATGCTGATAAATCAAATTGTGTGCGTGTATGTCGTTCGTTTTCCACAATCATATTGTATAGTATAATACATGCCCTCATGATTTTTCCTATCTTCACCTTATCCCCAAAAAGAGCCGGGTTTTTAACAATTGCAAAGCGAGCTTGCAAGACTCCAAAAGCACGCTCGACATCTTTTCTGACCGACTCTTGTTTTGTTGCAAATAATGATGCTTTTTCACCTTGCGGGGATGGAATGGATTGGATAAACGTTGCCCACTTTGGATAAATACCGTCGGTGAGGTAATATGCCAAATGGTACTGATGTCCGTTGACCCAGAAATTAACTTTGGGAGCGCGACCTTGTAATATGTCATCAAACACAGGTGATCTATCAAGAATATTTATATCGTTTAATGTACCTGGAGGTCCGAAAAAGGTATGCCATATCCAAAGATCATGCGACGCTACTGCCTCTAACACGATTGTCGGCTTTCCTGAACCACGTGTGTATTGCCCTTTCCAAGCCGTTGGGCAATTCTTCCACTCCCAATGCATACAGTCTATGCTTCCTATCATCCCGGGAAATCCGCATGATTCTCCGATATCAAGAAGGCGTTGTAGATCTTCTGGGGTGGGTCTTCTTAGGTATTCATCACCGAATAAGTTTATTATTCCGTCAACAAAATTTTCCAAGCAAGGAAGAGCAGTACTCTCACCGAGTCGGAGATATTCGTCAACCGCATCAGAAGCACATCCGTATGCCATAATGCGAATGGCAGCGGTACATTTTTGAAGTGTAGAAAGACCGAACCGTCCAATAGCATCTCTTTTCTGTTTAAAAAATGACACTTCTTGGGAGAGCCTTTCGACGATATACATGAACAACGGTTTGTTCATTCTGAATCGGCGTCGAAAAATATGCGGAGGGTACGTTGCATCATCAGCAAAATAGTCATTCCATAAATTTAGATGACCTATTTCGCGATGTCGTTCAATATAGGCTCGCTTTTTCTTCTTCTTTGTAGCCTCTTGGGAGTCCGCAATGAGAGCATCAATGTGGTCATCAACGAGATTATCTACATGCTGATCAAAAATATCATCAACAATTTCATCTAGAGAATCATCGTCCGGATATGGATTTGAAGAGGAAGCCATTATCTTGAAGAATAGTGGGATTGAAATATGAGAATGAAATATGAGAAAGGAAGAGATGGAAGTAGAGAGGAGTTTGCTGAAAACGATATTAAACTGGGAACGAGAGGAGTTTATTATTGCAGAGATGGAAGTACAAAGTATGAGAGTAAAAGTTAAGGCATATATATAGAAGTAGTTAACGGTTCATAAGCGAAGTAGAAAGATACAACAAACCCGTGACACTCCAATACAAAGCATACAAAAACAAGAGTAACCATACATCATATAAAATAACCCGTGACCATGTAACCAGAAAAATACAAATAAAGGAAAGTACAAAAACAAAGTGGTAAGTCCTCTCTTTTACCCGTGACCATTCACCTCTCCTTTACGTCTAAAGCTGGTAGTGCACCAAAATAAACGAACCTGAAAGACAAAGTCATAATAAACTGATATCAATAATATGTAGGCTCTGATTGAACAACATAACCTTTTCATTAAACAACTTAACTAAACCCTTAAACAACATAACATTAGAAGATGATTAAAAAACAACCATTAAACAAAGCAACATTCTAAAACATTACACAAAGCCTCTTCTACCTCAGTTATTCCAACAGTTCGTTTATCAGTTTGTTCTTTAGAGCCTCTTCTACCTCAGTTAGCGATTCTTTTTTTCCTAGAAGAAACTCTAGTAACCTCTTGTTTGATAACTTGTTCCTCAACTCCATGTCTTTGGCCTTCATTTCCAATATACCTCCTATATCCACAACCGGCTTCCCTTTCTCGTTACCAGCGGTTGGCTTCTTAGCCTTGGCTTTCGCAGCCTTGACACCGATTGGACGTGCCTCCGGAACTTCCTCTTCAAGATTGATGGTCGATGGCTCATCCGAAGACTCACACGTCTTTCTCCTTTTAGCCTTGTCAATATCCTTTGTTAAAGACTCAGAGCACCATTTCTGATCATGGCGTAGCTCGCGCCATGCGTGATCAAGCGTGAACTTGACACCATGATCGTTGAAGAAAATATCATGTGCAGCCTTCATTATATCATTCTCGCTCTGTCCACTTCTTTGATCCTTCAATGCGGCTTCATAACAGCCCACAAATTTGCAGACCTGATCGTTCAGCCTCCCCCAACGTTGCTTGCAAGTACTTTTTGGTCTAGAATTTTCCCCAGTCAGTCCTAGAGTATTATTGAAATATTATTGTATCCTAAACCAAAAAGCACCGACTTTTTGCTCATTACCCACCACGGGGTCTTTGCTGGTGTTCAACCACGCAGAGAAGAGCACCACGTCCTCCTTCGGTGTCCAAAGCCTCCTTCGGTGTCCACTTCGGTTTCCATCTTCACCAGTTAAGTTTGGATCATCAGAACCCTGGCTACTAAACCGAGGGATTTCTGATGATCCAAGGTCAATTGTTTCAGGAAAAGTGTAAGATTTGTCTTGTTGTGAGGTTAGGAGGTTTACAAATGAAGTAGGTGAATCCATATGGTTGGCTTCGGGTTTAGAGAATTGAAAGAGGAAGAAAGTTTGGAGAAGTGCTTTCTGAATCGAATGAATAATAAGGTTTGGAGAAGTGGTTACTGAATCAAAAGAGGAAGAAAGGAAAAAAAGTTTTGGAGAATTGGTTAGTGAATCGTTCTAAAGAGTAGTGTTGTTTTAAGAGTAAAAGACATGTGTTTAGAGTGATTTGTTTTTTCAGTAGCAAAGCTAACAAGTTTATAGTTGGTTTAAGTTTGTTATTCAATATTTTTAAAAGTTTTTAAAAGTTTTTATGAGTTAAAGAAGTTAAAGCAATCACCATAACTATTCACCAACAAAATGTACTATTGTGTTTACTCGTTAACTACTTTGCCAACTGTATTACTTCATATTAAAAGCTGTCTATAAGGGATCACCAGACGTTTACCAACTAAAGTAAACCAACACTCATCACTAAGCCATTCACGCAGACTTCTTAAATGTAAAACAATCTTAAATCTAACTATAGAAGAGGGCTGACCTTATGAGGAGTTTGATTGGTGACAGAGCTTTAAAACCTCCACCTTGTATAACCATCCATATCACGAAAGTTCCTCCATTAAATCATGCAAAAAGAAAAAAAAAACATATAAGGTCCTCATAGAAAATCACCAAAATAAGTAAACCATTTCAGTCACACATCACACCCTAACTCGATCATAAAAGCTCTTTATCAGGCATCACCAGACGTTTACCAACTAAAGTAAACCAGCATTCATCACTAAGCCATTCACGCAGAGTTCTTAAAAGTAAAACTAACTATAAGCTAACTATAGAAGATTTCAATCACACATCAAACCCTAACTCGATCATAAATGAAGCAATGAGTAGAAGAGATGAGCAAACAAACGAGTACATACTCCATGAACAGAACAGACGAGTAGAAGAGATGAGTAAACAAAACCAATTAAACTAAAGAGAACAATTAACAATTCCCGAAAACAAAAAATATCCAATCGAAAAATATCCAAACTAAAGAGAACAATTAACAGATGAATGCTTCACCACATATGAATCGAAAAATGCAAAAGACAATCATATTCATACGACGAATCAAAGCAGAGCCCCAAAATAAACTCATTCAAATCGATTGTATCTTTTTTATACATAAGACAAATGATATACAAAACCCGGATCGAAATATGCTACAGAAATCGTATAACAATAACTCACACACACACTAAACTCATTCAATCAACCTACTTTGATTCCTACCAATTTTCCCCAAATTTTCCCCAAATTAGCAAACCCTAATTTCAACCACGCAGACCCAAATTCTATAACAAATAAATAAAGCAGAGAGATTACCTTCAAAGACGCGAATCGATAAACCGAAATTGATCTCGCCGGTGTCGAAAGCGCAGGTCTCGCCGATTTTGGGTTGAATCTGTGGAAATCGCCGGTGGTGAAGAGAACACGAAGGAGAGAAAATGAGAGATGGTGGTCGAGAATGAAAAAATTGTTTCCCGACAATAATTTTACCCAGGCGAATAAGAATGTGACACCTGTCAATGAACCTCTCAAAAATGAGGCTCATCAAGTCCGTCCTGAAGGGGCGGTTCATCACAATAATGGGCTTTACCTATTTTTTTAAATCATTAATGGGTTATGAACCCAGCTGATGAACCTCTTTAAACCCTGCATTGGACCTGCTCTGAGTGCGCCGGTTTTAGATAACCGATCAAATTTGAAAGTAAATAACTTTTCCCTCCTCATTCTCCATTCAGTAAACACTGATCTGTATGTGACTATGTGTGTATGAAACAATCTGTAAAGGCAATTTTTATAATAAGTTATGGAGAAGTAGATGGAGAGAGGGTTCCTAAACACAAGGAACACCACCTTCTCGTTTTTCCATCACTATGGTTTGTACGCGAACTTCATGCGCCAATGATGATGGCAAGCCCATGTTCTTCGTGACTATGCGTCATGTTTGGTAAGTGACTTAGTGGTAACTAAAAATCTAACAACTGATAACCAAAAAAATAAAAATAAATGTCGACAACAAACATTTCTTGAAAACTGTATTAGCCAACAATTTTAAGAGAAAAAAAATCTCTATGATTTTCTTTGGTATTAAATCGCTTTTCAAAATGAAAAATAATAGCCTGAAAGATTTGTAGTTTAAGGATTTGTACTAGTGTTATCATCCGGTTTTAAATCTAACAAGACAATGCAATTGAATGATACCTTAGAGCATCTATATTGGTGAGATAATTCTAAGGACATCTCAAAAATATAATAATAATATAAAAATTAATTAGCATAATGGATATTGATAGATATATAATTTAATTTTATGATTTATAAAAATATAAAATAAAAAGAATAATATTTAAACTATTTATTTGTATTTTAAAGTGTTGGATATATGGATATATAGTATTTAAACTTTTAAGAACCCCTCTCATTGTATTTTAAACTATTTATTTGACATGTGTCCAATGAGAAGGGTTCTCAAAAGTTTTTATTTGAAAACCCATTCTTATCTTTTTTGTTTGAAATTAATTTTTCTTTATTTTTAATAGCTTTTAAGGTTGAGATACCAATTGAGATACCCCAATGGAGATGCTATTATATATTCAACAAAAGAAGAATACTTCTAAATGAAGTGTATATGACAACTTAGCATCTCCAATGGTTTTTTCATTTTTTTTATTTCATATTTAAAATTTCTTCATTTTTGAAGGAAAAAATGAAAAAAACCATTGGATCAATCTTTCTTCATTTTTTCCTTCAGAAAGAATATTCTAAATATATTCTATCCTTATATTATTATTAATTGCTACTAAGATCCTTTAATTATTTATTTTATAAACTTTTACCTACTTATTTTATTTATAGTAATTCTTTAACAAAAATTTAATAATTTTAATGGATGTGAAGTAGTTTCCCAGATTATTAAATTGTTAGTTTATGATATGTTAAGTTTTATTATTTATAATTTAGTATTAATTATGTATTTTTTTAATTTTATTGTTGATTATGTTATTGTATTTCTTAATTAATATATGTTATTATATTTTGTAAGAAAAAAGTTTACCTTCAAAAAATGAAGAAATGAATAGTATTCCTTTAAATATGAAGAAACATTGTTCATTTTTTCATTTTGAAGGTGAATTTGAAGCACCATTGAAAAATATTTCTTCATTTATATCTTCAAAATAAACAAAAAAGGTATAATTTGAAGGACCATGGTCTAAAGATGAAAAAAGTGTATATGTGCTTCGGTTAGTAAGAAATAGACACAAAAGAAACAGACTCCAATTGAAAATTCATTGAAATCTCAAGTTTGGGTTTGTTGGTAGATTTTGAAAATTGGAGTTCCTCCCAAGAAAGCACAAGAGATCTTGATATTATAAAAACATCCTCTGGTGAATCTCTCATGGAATTCACTCTAATTTTTTTATTAATAAAATTTTGAGAAGAGAGAGAAGGTTGAAGTAGAGAGAAGGACGAAGAAGAGAGGAAGAGAAAAAAAAGGTGGAAGAGAAAAAAAAGACCAACGAATATAAATGTAACATGTCACTGATGAACTCCATGAAAGGGAGTTTGTAAAAATCCTTGGAGAAGAACTCTAATGCTCTAACCTGGATTTTTTTTCTCACTTCTTAGTGCAAGATCAACAAATAGGTTGTTAAACACAGATTTTAACAGCATTTATAAACTCCCGTTCTGTTTCCTTGTGATTCATAATTTAGCTACTGGGATGTCAATGAAACAACCTCTTTTGTACTTATACAATATCGTTATCTGTTGTCTTGGGGCTCAACAGCTGAACGTCGTCGTATAACGCAGGCACGTCACGAGCAGCTTTGTGATCTAGATATGACGTCGTCATCTTGTTATCTTCCTCGCTCAATTCAATTGCACCCACCAAAGATAGATTTTTTTTTTCTTTACCGAGATAATCAGCGAAGTGAAGCTATAGAGCGTGAGACGACGAAAGAATGAGCTCATGGGTTTGCTCTTACGTGACCCAAAACGTCATAGTCACCGATTATTCTCATACTTTCTCATTAACCCAACACTTTGGTTTTCCGGCGTCGATTCGAAGAGCATCCGTCAGATTACCTTTGACATCTGCGCCGAAATTTCGGCAATTGAATCTCCAAAGGTTTCAATCTTCTCGTCAATCGCCGACCCATGAAGGAGAAGAAGACTCCGAATCAGTCGTACAAGCCCTCAAGATTCCAGACGAGTGGTTGCTCCCTTCCAAGGCCATTGAGGTGCTTTCTCGCTTCTATCAAATGCCAAATTTTCAAAGCAATTGATTTTAGTGTTTTTGTGATTCCTCTGTTTCTAGATTCGAATTTCCGCAACATTGCTTACTCAAATGCTGATTTAGGGGTTCTCCGTTTCCTCATAAATTTGGTTAATTTCCAGCAAAATTTGAAAATGTAACTTGTGTAGTATCCATCATCTAACAATTGCTTTCAAGCATTTATATACAGTATAGCGTTAGTTATATGGTATGATTCTCTGGATTGCTGATTTTGAAATGTTTGGTCAGGAATCTGAATGGTTGAGAGTAACTCTGCACAAATGGTTGGATGATGAGTATTGCCCTGAGCCAACCAATGTAGAGATCAGTAATGTAGCTGCAAAGTCTTTCTACAGTTCACTGTTGGAGAAAGAAACTGACATGGGAGTGATTTTGTTGAAGATGGCTCAAGATTTAACTTCCATTTCATACCAAGAAAGCTTCCATGGAGCTTTCACATCCGCAAATGCAGCTATAAATTTGATTGTTGAAAGAGTAGAAACCGGCCTAGTCTAGTTTTAGTTTAGTTCCCTTGAAGGGTTCAAGAACATTTTCTTTTGTAAAGTATGAATCTAAGTTTGTTATTTCACTTGATCAGGCGCAGGGAAATCTAGAGTCTTTACAGTTGTGAATCCTCCATCTACCACAAGATTATGCCCATTTACATACTTTGAATCATCTGATGCGAGGTAAACCGCTGCATTAGCTACATCGATCGGTTCACAAACCTCTCCGTTTAACACTCCCGTGCTCTGCACCATCTGGATCAGCCTCGAGTCATGGACGTTAGGGTAAATCTGCCTCATCTCATCCATCACAAATGATGTTGTGATTGCAAAAGGGGAAATGCAGTTGACTCGGATCCTGTGCCTGCATAGTTCTGAAGCTGTTGATCTAACAATTCCGATAACTGCAGATTTCGAGACACTGTAAGTATGTTGTGCTAAACCTCCCATCATCCCCGTGACACTCCCTGCGCAAATGATGGATCCTGAGTTGCGTGGGATCATCACACGAGCAGCGTGTTTGATTCCCGTGATGACTCCACGGACATTTGTGTTGATTACCTGCAAAACATACCAAAAAGAGGATCAGATAAAACTAACTGTGTCCTGTCCTTAGACCTGTTCTCTCGGATGTTCTTTTAGATCAGTACCTTGTCGAAAACATTGAGATCAAGATCGATGATACTAGGAGGCGTTTTGCAGGGTATTCCGGCATTGTTGTACATAATGTCAAGCTTTGTGTTTAGCGAGACAGCGAAATCAACTGCATTGGCAATGTCTGATTCTTTGGTCACATCGCACAGGAAATATGCAGCGTTTGGACCGAGTTCTTGCACGGTTTCTTTCCCGATCTGCGGTTGGATATCGGCAATGATAACTTTGGCTCCATGGCTGATGAATTTTTCAGCTGTTGCTTTGCCAATCCCACTTGCTCCTCCTGTGATGAGCGCTACTTTGCCATCTAGCTTCCTTTTACAAATGTGTGAAAACTATAGATTAGATTTTAGTATTAAGGTAAGACTTCGCATATTTCTAATTCTAGAAAGCAAATATTTTTTTTTCCTACTCTAAGTTCTTATGTTCATGTAAGGTTTGGCTGATCTTTTTAATACAGAAAGTCATAAACAATAACTATAAACTCAAAGTTTTTTCTAAGTAGCTACCTGAATTTTTAGTGTTAGTTATACATGGGCTAGTAGAATTAACGTTTTCTTCAAGCTTTTATCTCCTCGATGTTGAATTTAGATTCCTCTTTTTTTATTTCTTGTCTCACGTTTCTTTTCTTTATTGAAAGCTTTCTGACTTCAAGATAAGGTTTTGTCGAAGAAGACAAATAGAACAAACCAACTAGTAATATCAAATAATTTTACGTATATGACATTCACAAAAAGACATCACTGAATAATTAAGATCCATTTGTTATAAATTTATAATTGTTAGTCCTGCAGGGATATCTATAATTTGATTTACTTACTAATGAACCTGATTTACATAAAACTTTTTGGGCTTAACTAAATATCAGATTTCCTTCAACACATGAACTTAAAATAAAACGGTCATGTATAGGTTTTTTATTTTGCAATAGAAAGGTCAGAAACAATTTTGTTTTCTTTCTCAGTAAATAAATTTAAATCTGATATTGTATCCCACAAATTCAGATTGTTTTAAAACTGGGATTAAGATGGGACTTGCCTTGAACTTGAATCAGATGATGCAGATGAAAAGTTTCCCTTGATGAGCACGTTCTTGCCCACATACAATCTCTTGATTAGTGCATTTTTTCTATTTCAGAGATGAAAAAAGAACAATTAGAATAAAAATAGTGTTCATTGTTAAATCTGCAGGAATGGAGAAAAAAGGTATCAGAAAAGGAGCTTGACCCAATCTGAAACATGGTGTGTGCGTATTGCTCCGAGATAGATCGGTCTTTGTCGTTTTTCTAACTTCGAACTTTGAGTCTTTCAAGAGATGGGTTTCTTTGTTTGTGCCTAGAAAATATATATAGAGTACCAGAAAGAGAGAGATAGATATACACAAAGATATTGTCTTTGAGGAGAGAGAGAGAGAGAAAGGTGTAGCCTTGAAGGATAGAGAGAGAGAGAAAAAAAAAGAAAAGAGAATCTAATGGGGCTGTGATTTGAACCAGTAGTATACTAGCATGCGAGTGTTTTGTAAAACGTTTGATCCTTATTTTTTGTTAATGAAGACAAAAAAAAAGATCATGTTATAAAAGTTAAGGCATGTGCTGATTTGATTTTTTCCCCAAATAAGATTGTAAGATAGCCTAATAGGCAGAAGGTAATTTTGAACTTGATCTTATCTTTAATACCAATCTCAATTATGTTTTTTTTTTATATTTAGATTCATTCATTGATTTTAAAAGAATTTTTTAGTTTATACCTTTGAAAATCTTTTGAGCACGTCAGAAAAAAAAAACTATAAAATCATCTTCTAATGCTTATTGTGGCATGTGTTGGTGCTTATTGTGAGCTGTCTGTTAATTAATGAATTATCTTTACGTATTCACTCATACAACGTACCTACCAATACCATCCTCATATGGCGACAGAAAGCTAATAATAATAATTCACATTATGATGTAAATATGATATAATATAAATGTAACATCCAGAGACATCTGCTGGATTGGATACGATACGACCAATTTTCATTTGTTATCTAATGGCATTCCACCTAATAAGATGTATTATGTACCGTTTTGTTGGTAGATACAATTTTTTTTTTTTTTTAAAACACAATTCTTTACAACATACAACTACATATTGTAAATTGGTCTAGATTATGAATTTATGACGCACAAAAAATAGTTAAGAAAATAAAACCATGTTTCTAATGGGGTGTTCCTAATTAAGTAATGATAATCAAAGAAAAGCAAAGTGTTGCCTGTCTTTCTTTAACATCTACCTATAAATTGTAAAGATTCTTGAATATGAAGATTCTTCGTGGATTTGCATAGAGAGATCGATGTATGATGTGTCGAATAAGTAGTTTCTGTTTCTTCTAGAAAGCATAGATAAAATATTAGCCATTTTTTTCTTTTTCGAACGCTAGCTGCACATTAAAGGAAGAACAACATGGTGGGAAAAGAAAATAAATATGTAAAAGGACAAAATGGTTTTTAAAAAATAAAAAATTGGGGCGTTCCGAGAATTGAATATGAAGATTTTTCGTGGATTTGCATAGAGAGATCGATGTATGATGTATCGAATAAGTAGTTTCTGTTCCTTCTAGAAAGCATAGATAAAATATTAGTCATTTTTTTCTTTTTCGAACGCTAGCTGCACATTAAAGGGAGAACAACATGGTGGGAAAAGAAAATAAATATGTAAAAGGACAAAATGGTTTTTAAAAAATAAAAAATTGGGGCGTTCCGAGAATTAGGTCCCTAAGCGAGAATCATACCACTAGACCAAACGCCCTTTTTGACATATCTGTTAGCTTTATTTATAAATTCTCTAAACACAACATAGCAAAATTCCGCTTTTCAAAACCATCGTTCATCGACTCGTCTCTCTCCCAGAATCCCGCCAATGTGCCCGAGTTACCGTCAATGGAACCTCTAGGATTTCTCCTCGGTTTCTAGTCGTACAAGAATTGAGCGCTTATAGTGATTTGATTTCGTGAGATTCTAGTTTCCGATGGTCAATCATATCGACACCGAAGTTTTCGCCTCCGATTTCAAGTCTACTTCAGCTTCTTCGATTCATAGTGAGTTTTGCGATGACGAATAACTTACTTTCCTTCTCCCTTCGAATTCCGAATTGTGTTTTCCGGATTATTGTAGCTTTGAGGTGGATAGATTCATTTTACGAATTTTTGACGGGTGAGCAAATTTTCCTTTCTGAATTCTCTTAGGGTTTGAGGTTAGTGAGATTTTTGGATTCGGGGAAATTCAAGATACAGAGCCGATTGATGAAGCTATGTCGCAGATTGATGATTGCTCGTCACTTGAAACCCCATTTCAAAAGCTCTACGACGATACGGAGCTCGTAGATAACGGAGATTGTGGTGATAAAGAAACACTGGACCAGGAATTTGGCGGTCTCGATGAAGTGGTGGATGATAGTGAGGATGAAGATAGAGGAAATGGGAGTGTTGCTGCCGCTGAGTCGACATGTTTGCGGGAGCTAAGCCCCAAAGCTGCAGATATACTTTTGGAGTCTGATGGATCGAATGATCACGAATGTGAGACAGGTAAAGATATCTTTGTGTTGTTATGATGCATCTAATCATCTTCTGTGCAAATCGGTTCTGTTTTAAACTCAGATCAATTCTTACTGTATCTCTTACTTCAAGGAAAGCAAGAATCAAATTGCGGTATCGCGACCGGTTTCCAAGGTTCTTCGCGGATTACTGCTGATAGTCAAGGTCCAGGGCTGGATTTTTTGGATTCTCAGGAACCAGGAGAGTCAACACAAGCAGCTGCTCTTGGTTTTGTGGACCAATTTTTGATGGACAAAGATCTAAATTTGTCCCCAGTGAATCTCCCGGAAACTAGTCGGAGAAGGAAGTCACCTCCTTTCTCAGGTGCAAAAGGACGTCAATCTCTGGCCAAAAGAATCAAAACCAGAAGTCCAACCAGGAAAATGAGCGTCTTTGATTGGGATAGTGATCAGTGTGATGTGAGTGACCTTCAAAACTCTCCAGTCACTCGTGCAAACGTTACATGCTTCAAGAGAAGAGAAGATCATGTTCAAGATGATGATCCTGGAGTGAAGGAAGGATCTATGGATCTGTGTGAGAATAGAAAAGTCTCAAAAGGTCCCACAAAAAGATTTATGCAGAACAGTTTTGCTAAACATCACAAGATGGAACAAACACCGAGTTTGAGTCAGGGCATTATGCCAATCTCGAAGATGGATGCTCAGTTGCAGGATAAAGCGTCAAATGAGCAGTTTGAACCTGAGAACGAATTTACTGATGTTGGTATTAGCACTCAGATTGCTGCTGAAGCAATGAGTGTTTTACTGTTTGCTCCCTGCACTAAAGCTGAAGCTCATGAATCAGAAACCATGGATCTCTCTAGAAAGAACAATGATACCATTGGGAGTAGACCTGAAAGAGACAACTGGAGTGATCTGCTTAGTGCTCCAAACAAGAAGAGAAACATTAAGAAGAAGAAGAGAAAACTCACTATGAAACAGAGGGCTGGCACAAACGTCTCTGCTATAACATGTCTTCTTAGCTTATGTGAATGGAGGCATCCCAGGGCCAAAAGATCACGTCTTACGCAAAGGCGTCACGTCCCACCTAGGAAATCTTGGGATACTAGTTCAGCAAAAGACAGAAGCGAAACCAACACTCTATCAAGAAGGTTACGAGTTTCATTAAGCGGGACAAGACAAGCCTCTTCTTGCCATTCAGGTGTCAATGATTTGGATGTTGCAAACCATGCCTCTCCAATGAAAATATATGGCGGAAGTCATGAAATCTCTTGTAATAAAGATTTGCCTAGGCCATTTCTTCTGAAGGAGATCGCAAGGCTTGGAGGATCAGGGAAGGTAGATGACTTCATGTGGAAAGACTTGAGGAGACGAAGAAACTTAGCACATGTTCGAGTCTTATTCAGCCATAATCTGGATGAAGAAACAATCAAGCAGCAGAAGAAGGTTTGATTATCCTTCTAATCATCCTTTTTATCAATTTTGACAGTGCAAGTATATGCAGATTTACACTAAATTGGTTATCAAGAATTCACTCTTCTCTTCCGTAGATCATGGTTCGGCTGGGAATTACTCCGGCATCTTGCTCGGCAGACTCAACACACTTCGTAGCAGAAAGATTTTCTCGGACAAGGAATATGTTGGAAGCCATAGCCCTTGGTAAACCTGTTGTTACTCCTCTATGGCTGGAGAGCTGTGGACTAACAAGATGCTTGATGGATGAGAAGAAGTACATCCTAAGAGATAGCAAAAAGGAAAAAGAAGGGTTCTGCATGCTTACATCTTTGGCCCGTGCGAAGCAGCACCCCCTTCTTAAGGTCACTATCTATTCTCATTTGACATTTTCTCAGAGCTTCATTAACACCCTTTGCTCGAAAATATCTGAGATCTTACAAGTCACAATTATTCACAGGGGTTAAAAGTCTGCATCACACCCAACATTAAACCCGACAGAGGTATGACTGCTGACTTAGTGAAGTTGACTCAAGGGCAGGTAAGAACAACTCACTTCCATTGAGATATTCTGTTTTATACACATCTTGGCACTTCTTCAGAATGGTTATGAGTTCCTTTATCAGGTAGTGGAGATAAGTGAGATAATTGCTGCAGAGGATAGAAAAATTCCCGATGATCTACTGATTCTTTCTTGCGAAGACGATAGAGACTTATGTCTTCCTTTCATCAATCAAGGTAGCGTCTATGCCAAATTCAACAATATGAAGTTACGCCAAGAAAGAACACTTTTAAGTTTTAACTTGCGTTTGTAACGTAGGGGCTGAAATTTACACCTCAGAGCTTTTGCTGAATGGAATTGTGGTTCAGAAACTGGAATATGCCAGGTTTGGTCACAGATCACAAAATTCAGATATTGTAATCCTAGTTTGCGCTGACTAATAACCCTTTAAAAGTGGATATAATAGAAATTGTCAGACACAAAGTCTTTACAATTCTTTGGTTCTCTGTTGCAGGCATTGTCTCTTCTAAGTAGCAGACAAAAGGAACCAAAGAAACACAGTATACAGCAACGCGTCTACTTCTGTAAACTTACTGATGTACTGATTGGTGCAAGCAATGAATGAAGGCTTTTAATCAATCTTTCATAAATCTGACCTGTTTGTTCTAATAGATAAAAAAATACTCAGATTTTCTCCTTTCATCACTCTATGGCTAGCACATAAAAATGACGCATTTCACATACAATAATTCTAAACCTCTTCACATAAATTGGATTAGAAAAGGTAAGACACTGTGTTAAACAAGAGTTCTGAGAATTTTTGGGAGGAGAAAAATGACTCATCAGAACTAGACCCTACTCATTGCTTTCAGGAGATTCAGCACCCGGGTTTGGATTTGGATTGTTGAAGCTACCACTTGGTGGAGCAGCAGCTGGATTTGTATGATAAGGAGGAGGAGGAGGAAGAGATCCATTATAATTGGGAGGTGGTGCGCCACCTTGACCTGGTAACGGAGCCATTCCTGGTGGTCGGAGAATACCGTTTTGTGGAGGTGGAGGTAGAGGAGCACCAGGCGGTGCCATCATCTGTGGTACTCCTGGAGGTGGCATGTAACCTGGAAAGGTACAATATTACATCACAACTCAAATAACTGATGTTGCAAAGAAGATGGAACCATCTATGTATGAAGTATACTAATTGATGTTTGACCAACATGGTTTAAATGCATGGAATCTATGTCGTAAGAGTCATGATCCATCACAAAGTGATGATCAACTCTCAAAGCTGACAATGTTTACAAACAGTGTTCAATTTAACCCAAAGTTTCGTATATAATGTCGATATTTCTCAAATCACTTATATATTCAGCGCAGTCACTTACCTTGACCAGGCATCATCGGTCTAGGCAGAACAGGAGGTCGCATACCCATAGGCATACTTCCAGGTGGTGGCATCATAGGAAGGCGAGGCCTAGCGAGCATATGCTGATTAAACACAGCACCAACCTGTTGGAATGCTGCAGCTTGACCAAGATGCTCTTTAATTCTTTGATCAATCAGGCTTTGGGTTTGTTGCTCCTCGAATTGCTGATAGTATATTCTCACATTCGCCTGAAGATCATATCAAACTCTTAACAAACCTACAGAAAAGTCTTATATACACCACACAGAATATAAAACATTATAGACTGTGTTTATGTACCTTGTGTTTGTAACCGGCGTTGTGCTGCTTCCTCACCGATGGCTGGAAAAAAAAAATAGTAACAACATAAAAACTTGACTAATAAGAGGTGACAGTTCAATCCGTGAAACATGATTAGATTCTTAAATAGCCCGAAAAACATCATAGAAACCGTAGATAACAAAAGTGCAGCCATTTTGATAAGTTTCATTACGGTATAGTGAGGAAAACAAGTTTAATTTGCAAGACCTTGAGCTTATAATCAATCTTCACCACAAAATCATGAGTTGATTCCTAGTAATCAATCATCTTCACCAATTAATTGAGCCAGCCAAAGTCAAGAATCGAACCAATGTACCAAGTAAATAACCTAGGAATTTAAATCGTAAACCTAACTGATGCCGCCCGAGATCGATTTCAATACAAGCGAGCTTAAGTTCATCAACGACGGCGAGTTCTCGAATACTACGCAAGTAAGCAAATAAACAGGAGAGTAGAATTAGACTTACGGAATCGTGAGTGAGATAAGTGTCGCAATAATCACAGTAATACCTGCGGAAATCAACATAAACAAGTAAGTAAAATCTAATATCGAGCTACATAATTATCTATGTACTACAAAGTAACTATGAAGATCCAGAACACTTTACCTCGGCATCGTTCAGAAAATTCCGAGGGCCTAGCGAGAGTGAGAGAGAGAGACAGAATCTTCGAGAGCAGACGAGAGGAAGAAGAAAGTGCAGAGAGTCTATTTTTTCTTTTGCCTAATTTTTTTTTTTCTAGTAAGAAGGATGATTTTTATCCAACGGTTCAGATTCATTTATGATATCTGACGGCTATTAATAACCGGAGAAGTATCCTTAATGAAGCGGTGTCGTTTCGCATTGCGGATACAAAAAAGGGAAGCAGATACCATTTCCCAAGAAAAAAAAGATTTAAAAAAAGTTTTTTTCAACAATGATCGGAGATATCTCCCCGCCGGTCGCTTCAATTCCAGGTTCGTCGGATCTTTTGCTTTTTGCGACATGATGCTATTGATCTATCTAATAGTTTCATGTTACATTTCGAGAATCATGATAATTCTAGCATGAATCGAGATTTCCTTTTTCACCGGTTTTTTTGGCTATATAATTTGGTGTATTTCAATGGCGGGGATTTGTGTAGTTGTTGAAGGAAATGCGGAAGTGAGGAAGCCGAAGAATCTTCTTCCGCCGCTTTCAATGGTGGCGTCTCATTTTGGCACAAGCGGACTTTCCGTCGCGTTGGCCACTGGCGTGACTCATCCTCTCGGTTAGATTCCTAATGAATTTGTTCACTCATGTTTTTGTAATTCTGTATCTGGAATATCCAATCCTTTTGCTGGAGAGAAAAAAATTGCATATTAGAGTTATTTGATATGTAATTAGTTGCAGAGAGGTACTTTCCGTGGAGATTTATTGCACTTGTGATGGATTTTGGATAGTGATTTTAAGATAATGTAGCAGATGGGTGTTTTCTGCTGGAATTTCTCTTAGGACTGCTTTCTTCAATAGTGATCTTTGGATCCTGTAGCAGTATGTTCTGGCTCTGGCTCAGTGACTTAGTCTCAACTAATGTAGTATATAATGTGGCATTTAATTTTAAGCTTAGGGACTCAGAAGATATCACAGAAGAAATGATTATTTGTCTTCCCGTGATAGTCTGCTTAAACAGGCTCCTTTCCATTATCTTTGTTTCCAGATGTGCTGAAAGTAAGATTGCAGATGCAGCATGTCGGCCAAAGAGGCCCTTTAATTGGAATGGTAATAATGTTCGAGTGAACTTCCCTCTTGATGTTATTGGGGATTTTAAATTCACTTTAGTTTGCATTCTTGGAATTGTTTTTTCAGACTGGGATCTTTGTTCAACTAATGAAGAATGAAGGGCCTAGGTCTTTATACTTGGGATTGACTCCTGCTCTCACTAGATCAGTACTTTACGGGGGTCTCAGATTGGGATTATACGAACCCACCAAGGTTTCTTTCGATTGGGCGTTTGGGTCTACAAATGTCTTGGTCAAGATAGCATCAGGCGCAATTGCTGGGGCGTTTTCCACAGCATTAACCAACCCTGTTGAAGTTGTAAAGGTAGATGAAACCTTTAAGTATTGGTTAGGTTCTGTGCTCATTAGATCTCTTTCTTGGTTTTTAAGACGCAGATCAATTTGCCTTTCTGTTAGGTAAGGTTGCAGATGAATCCAAACGCAGTTCCCATTGCAGAAGTGCGGGAGATAGTCGCTAAAGAAGGCATAGGAGCCTTATGGAAAGGAGTGGGTCCTGCCATGGTTAGAGCTGCAGCACTAACTGCCTCACAGCTTGCAACATACGACGAAACCAAGCGGGTCATATTCTAAGACTCAGTCTTTTCCGCTTTTTGAGCACCATAAAGTTAATATCCATATGTTTTTTGAAATTGTCAAAAATAAGTTGGTGCTATCTAACACTCCAGCTCCTAAAGTTTCTTGTAATTGCAGATTCTGGTTAAACGAACTCCTCTAGAAGAAGGGTTTCATCTTCATTTGTGGTAAAATTTTAACCATTATCAAATTCCACTGTTTTTATCTGGCAACAAAATCCGAAAAATGTGTAGAAACTAACTTACTCTAGCACTTGATGAATGAAGCTCAAGTGTGGTTGCAGGTGTAGTAAGCACTCTGATAACTGCGCCCATGGACATGATTAAAACCCGCTTGATGTTGCAGCAAGATTCCGAAAGCTCCAGAATCTACAGAAACGGGTTTCATTGTGGTTACAAGGTAATGTAAAGGATCCTTCTTTTAAACATCTTAGTTTATATCTTCACTGGGAATTGCTTACATTGAACGTTAATGTTCTGTATCATCCTTCAGGTTGTTCGCAAAGAAGGACCTTTGGCACTTTACAAAGGGTTAGGAAAAAAAGTTCAGGATATTTCTAAAACAAAATTCTTAATAAAATAATTAAAATGGTTTTTTATTTTTTATTATTGACAGAGGCTTTGCGATTTTTGCACGGCTCGGGCCGCAAACGATGATCACCTTCATACTCTGCGAGAAGCTAAGATCACTCGCTGGACTTCACACAATGTAGCCACTGACCAATTCGTGCCCAAGCTTGTCCAGCTAAGTTCTACTCCAATTTTTTATTATTATAATTTTTTCACACTACGTGAGATTTTTTTTCATCACAAAATCTTTATTTATTCTTTATTTGTTATTGTCTAACATGTTAGTATTAATTTCAATTGGATACAATATTAGACATTTCTCAGTTTTTTCAAACGCCTAATTGATTACTCACTTTTGATCAAAAGAAAAGATTATGTGATTCTACAGTCTTTTTCAATTTGAGGTTTATGTGGTTTGCTATTAGTCGGAATTAGAATCAACTTTTATTATAAAGAAAAAGTACTTTTTTAGTTGGTACATTCCTATTGTCTTCTAGATGACTAGATCCAAGCTTTGATGTAAATTGAGCCTTTTTGCTCAATTAGATTGGATAGGCATTGAATTGAAATGAAATGATAGTTATCCAAAAATAAAATATGTACGTAGTGGTTATGTCGGAATCACTTCTATATTACAGAGTGTGTCACTCTAATAAATAAATTTGTTTTCTCTTATAAACAATTATACCAGTCTCCATCACAAAGAATAATAAATTTTTTAATAATTGAAAATTAGCTATTTATCCGAACAAAATAGTAGTTATTAGACAAGAAGAATACGCTGGACCGTGTATGTGCTTTTTTTTTTTTTAATTTGGGAAGAACTAAATTAGACAAAAATGCACGTTATAAACCTGGTAGGGTTAAAACGTGAAAGGTGAATAAATTCAGGGTCCTATTAGTTGGAAATATAGAAGAAAAAAAATCAAATTTGTGGCGTGGAGAAAGGAGCAAGTTGGAGCTGCTCGAGTCTTTGTTTTCTGGTCGTGTTGGCGGGACAGTCTGTCATGGCTTGTGTTTCGCCCATCGGTTTACGATTTATCTACGGTTCTGCCATTCTATATTTTCTCTGACTATTTTGCCCTTTGACAATGACCTTTCAGTTGTGATCCTCTTTCATTATTTTAGAGATCTTACGGTCAAACTCTCTTTTCGCGTTTATCCATTTTACGTAAAGAATGTTTTTAAAAGTGAGTTTTCTTTCACTTTTAAAAAGGGGTTTCCTAGCTATGTTACACAAGAGTTAACTGGCCAAGTATTTAAGGTTCGATTTGTTTACGGAATACTGCTGCAAATGCTGTAATTTGTGGAAACAAATGTTGATGGTTATCTTTTTTTGGTGCAATTTATAGAGTAAACTATAGGAATTAGAAAAAAATAACATTTTGAAAACTAGTTATTGAATAGTTTTTTCATACTTTATTTTTCGATATCTCAATTTTTAATGAAAATATCATTTTTTCAGAAAAGACAAACTAAAAAAAGAAAAGAAATTCATAATATATAAAAATAAGATTATAACACTTATGCTAACAAAAGTAAAAATTTATTTATGAAACACCAATATTTTAGTGTACAAAATTGACTAACAGATAATTCAGTGATTTTCATATGATTTAAGATGATTTGAAACTCAAGCTTTAGAAATTCTTATAATCAATCATAATTTGAAGTTGGTAAGCTTTGTTTTGATTTGACACATTTTAAAGAAGCTTAATTATGCTCTTTTTGATGGAATTTTATTTGATGTTCGGTGAATTTTAGTTATTGCATCCAATATAAGTCAGATTTCGATATAGATTAGCTTTTGTTTTTTGTCATCTAGAAATTTTATTGCAAACCTTTCACGGATACACAACAGATACATAGCCGGAGGAAAACGATAACTTCTCCGGAGTCAAAGCCGACGGAAAACATAATTTCCTCGGAGACAAAGCCCTATCAAAGGGAAACGAAACTACAAATACAAAGCATAAAATCTAAGCCACAAAGTTCAAAACTATGACTGAAAATAAGACGAGAGCAATTTAATCCGATACTAAGAGATAGTACAAACCCAACAAAACTTCAAACTTCTGGAGATCTTTTTGAGAGAAATTAACGAAGATGCCCAAGGCAACATATTCCTCCTATTAAGATGTAGAACAGCAGTTAAAACATTGATTCCTAAGCTTCATAATCCGGCAAGATAGAAACATGATTCTTCCAGATGCGGCGAAGTCGAGAACGACGGTTGAACGCCTAGAAAGAAGCTTTACGAATGGACTAGATCTTGAACAGATCTGAAGGGTAGAGACAAGGAGCGAATGATCCAATCCGGATAACACCAATCTTCACAAAGCAAGAGCGGCAAAAAGAACGAACCGGAGAGAAACCAAAGCGACCTCCACCGAACAAGAAGATTGCAAGCCTGCACAAAACCCAGAACCGGCAGAAAACAGAGCTAACAAAACGATTAAGGAAAAGAAGCGAAAAAACTCGAGGTGTTTGCGGACGAACCACACCGTCAATCCAAAGGATCCGGCACCTCCAGCCTCACAACATCCTAAAACCGGTCAGTACTGAAAATTAAACCACTCAAAGACTGAAATCAACCACACCAAACAAAGAGGATTCAAAAACAAAAAAGATCTATAAATAGATCTAGACCTGAAATGAAAAACCATCTTCAAACTTGATGAAATCATAGATAAAAACAAAGAGGATTAGATAAAAGAGAAGCCAGAAAGCATAGAGCAAAAGGATCCCGACTCCGGTGCTGAAAAAGCCACCAGAATCGATTACCAAGCAAGACGGCGGCTAGGTTTTTTCTTCTTCTTGTCGAGAGGTTTTTTTCTTTTTTGTTATTATATATGTACTATTGTCTATTATTTTAGATATCAATTTATGAATTCAGTTAAACCTCTATAAATTAATAATTTCAGGATTGTAAAATTTTATTAATTTATCGATTTGTTAATTTATTGATATAAAAATCAGTTAAAAAATTAATTTGGAACTTAAAAAATATATTAATTTAATAAGTATTAATTTGTAGAGATTATACTTATTTCTGGTTTATGATCTGATTTCTTTTAATAAAAAAATTACTTTGGTGGTATTTTTCAAAATATCCCTTATTTATAGCCATGTGTATAACAAAATCACAATCTTATATATAAAAGTTGCTCAACTCTCTCCATATAAATGACATATCAGCATTTGAGAATTGATATGAGAATGACATGTGTCATTTTAAAAAAAATTAATTAATAAATTTTAAATGTTAAACCACTCAAAAAAATGAAAAGTTTTTTAATTGATTTTTAAATAACATTTATGTAAATATTAAACAAGAATTTATGTTATAATTAATTAAAAATTGATATTTTTAATAATTTCTTGATTTTTAATGATATTATATTTTTAATTAATTGATTTATAATAAAATATTAACAAATGATGATCATATTTTTTTAAAAAAAAATTACAAAATATATAAATTTAAAATAGTTGAAGAAACAATCTATTTAAAATTACACTTTTAAAAAAGAAAATTAATTAATAAATTTTAATTTTAAATTTTAAACTACTCAAAAAATATCTATTAATTGATTTTTAAATAACATTTATGTAGATATTAAACAAGTATATTATAATTAATTAAATATATTGATAGATAATTAAACAAAAATTTATGTAAATATTAACTCTTGATTTTTAATGATATTGTATTTTAAATTGATTGATTTATACTAATATACTAACACATAATAAATAATGTTTATATTTTTTAAGAAAATATAAAAATATATAAATTTGAAATAGTTGAAGAAAAAAACCTGCACGTTACGTGCGGATATTCACCTAGTGATAATAATGTCTCACTAAAATAGTCTTACATTTTTTCTTATGCTAAAACATGCATATGTCAAAAAAAAGTTATATTTTTTCGGAACTCCCCCACCCAACACCTCATCTTGTTCAAATAGTTTTTACTTATCCAATAAGAGGTTTCGAAATTTTAGCCTAATTATATAATGTATAATTTTCAAAACTGACAGCTTCCCTTGTTTTAACTAAACAACAATACAAGTTGATGTCAAACAAACTTTATTTATTTATTTTTCTTGTTGTCGGAAACTCTTTTATTTTAAAATAAAAAACAAAAAAAAATAAACAACTCATGTTTGACTACAATATTAGATTTTGGAATAGTAAACAGAGTGAGAGAGAGAGAAACAGAAACACAATGCGACGCGGGTAAAGTGGGAGGGTAATTTCGTAAATTCGATTGCATTCCCATAACGAGACAAAACAATCCGAAGTGTTCCCTCGCATCATAAAGCTTCGCATTTCCCTTTGTACAGCTGTAATGGCAAACATCGTAAATTATTCGTAACAGAAAGGGCGATTTTTGTCCGCATTTAATTTAATTCCAACTTCTCAAATTCCACCATTTTCTTCCTCTCCTTCATAATTGAATTTTCTTTTTTTTTTGTTCCTTCTTCATTTATTAAATAAATTAATTTTAGAAACAAAAAAAAAATTGTTAAGAGAGAGAGAGAAAAACTCAGAAGAGAGAAGGAGAAGACGACGAAGACAGGAGAGAGAGAGACGACCAATTTGTCAATAGAGAGAGAGAGAGAGAAGAAGGAGAGACGGAGACAACAATGGCGGAAGGAAAGGAGGAGAATAGGGAGAAGAATGAGGAAGAAGATTGCGTTAAGCTTTTCGTCGGACAGATTCCGAAACATATGTCGGAATCTCAACTCCTTGCATTGTTTCAAGAGTTCGCTGTCGTCGACGAGGTCAATATCATCAAGGACAAGATTACACGCGCCTCTCGAGGTTTCTTCTTCTTCTTCACGCCTCTTTATTTCTCATCCTCTGTTTCTCTTTCTTCTTCTCCCTTCGATTTTTTTTTTAATGGAATTTTCGGTTTTTTAAGTTTTCAATTCGAGAATGTTGTGTTTGATTCGCGTGATTCGTCGAGATTTATTTGAATTTTTGAAACCCTAACTTTATTTTTTTGCCTCCCGATATAGGTTGTTGTTTTCTGCTATGTCCATCGAGAGATGAAGCAGATAAGTTGGTCAATGCTTGTCATAACAAGAAGACATTGCCAGGGGTATGTTTTAATTTCTGACTCTCTCTTTTTTTTTTTTTTCTTTCTGGAGAATTTATTTTTTCAGATGTTTGAATTCGATTGATATTCTGTAGTTTCTAATGATTGAATTTCCCATCGCACATTTATTCTAAGTCAGGTTTAGAATCTCGAGATTTGTTAAATGTTTTCAATTATTATTATTTTTGGAACTGCATTTTTCCAGAAGAGGCAATTTGTGATTTGTATACATGCTTCGCACGAAGCGTTTCCTTGCCTAATTAGGTGAACATCAATTTTCTTTTTTTTCCGAATCAGAATAGAATCTTTTCGATCCAGTTTGGTTATAATCTTATGACATTGTTTTCAAGTGATTTCTTCAAACCCAAGAAACTGCAATCATTGGTAAAACTACTAGTAAATTGCTAGAAGAAGATCAATGGGGCTCGGGTAACTCTTCTTCAAGGCAGAGTGTTAGGTTGATCTTTGTTCTTAGAAATCTTGGCAAAAATGCATTCTGTGACAAAAATGCAACATTTTTTGATGAATTTCTGTGTGTTTTTACCATCTCGGACAATGGTT